CCATTTAGGGAGTGAACCAGTGGATGGAAGACTTCTCTTTCTCTCTGACTTTGCCTCTGCCTCTCTGTATCTCTGCCTTTCAAATAAATGTCATTAAAAAAAAAAATACTTAAGCTTAAAAATGCATACAAGTGGCAGGCATAGGAGTTAAGGCACTTGGTACATCTGCATCTGCCTCTGTGCGTGGGACTCCCAGTTCCAGCTTCCTGGTCACACAGACCCTGGGAAGCAGCAGCAGATGATGGATCAGAGGTTGTGTTCTCGCCTCCCACATGGGAGACCCAGATGGAGTTCCTGCTTCCTCATTCTCTTTTTTTCTTTTTAAAGGTTTAATTATTTACTTGAAAGGGGTGGTAGTGCTGGGTGGTAGGGGAGAGGGAGAGGGAGAGTGTCCATCTGCTGATTTACTCCCAAAATGGCTGCAACAGCAGGGGTTGGGCCAGACCGAAGCCAGGAGCCTGGACCTCAGTCTGGGTCTCCCATGTGGGTAGCTGGGACTCAGTTACTTGAGCCGTCATCCATTCCCTCCCAGATGCGTTAGCAGGGAGCTGGATCAGAAGTGGAGAAGCTCGGACAGGGAAGGGCAGCTCCCCGATGGGATGTGGACGTTATAGGTGGCGTCTTAGCCTGCAGTGCCGCGATGCTGGCCTCTCCTCCATTCACGGACTCTCCCACCCCCGTCACTGACGTTCAAATAAAAATAATCTTTATTTTTAAAAGAGCAAGTTTCTTTTGGTGCAAGTTTTGAAAAAAACTTTTTTTGAAAGTTTTGAAAGCATACACGGGAGGGTCTTCAAAAAAAAATCCATGGAAAATACATATGATGAAAAAACTGCAGAAATTTCAAAATTTTTCACCAAAATGAAATTACTTTTTCACTTCACTTTTCCCCTAGTGCCCTTTTCCTGGCCTAGGATCCCACACACTACATTTTCATGTCTCCTTAGGTTTCTCTGGTCTGTGCTAGTTTTCTAGACTCCGTATTTTTGTCATTGTCATTGTTTTCCCAGGGCCTCGGCGGGTTTTTTGTGGAGCTCCTATCTGCTAGTTCATTCCCTAAGTGCCCACAATGGCCGGGGCTGGGCCAGAGCCAAGGTTGGAAGCTGGGAACTCAGTTTACATGGGCAGCAGGAGCCCAGTTACTTGAGCTATCACCAGGGCCTGCGTTAGCACAGAGCTGGAGTCAGGAGCCTGAGGCAGGAATTGAACCAGATACTCTGATGGGGGACATGGTATCCTAGTTACTAAGTTAGTCTCCTGCCCCATCCCATTTTCCACAGGTTTTTCTGAAGCCCTATCTTGCCAACCAGCATGCCTGATGCCACCCGGCCCACCACCGCCAAGTAGAATTCTTTTTGCAGTGGGCAGTAACCCCTGTAACCACAAGATTGGTTTGCACTGTGCTGTTATCTGCCCTGTAGCTGCCTAGCAACTGTGTGAAGGTCAGGAAACTCTTCTAGGGCAGGCCCAAGGACTGTTTGACCTGAGAAAGTCCACCTGCCGCTGATGGATGCATGAATCTAGCCAGTCCCAGCATAGCCCTGAGCGGGAGCTGGGAAGGGGATCCTAACTGTGAAACCCAGTTGAGGAAGGGGAGGAGAGGGCATGCAGGTGACACGAGTGCCTGGCAGAGGGGTGTCGGCTGTTGGGAGCGCCAGGGGCAGCTTGTCCCAGGAGTTCTGAGCCTTGAGTTTTACTTGGGACCTGCAGATGAGCATGGCTCCAGCTGTCTCTTAGAGGGATGTGAACAGAAGCTCCTGTGTCTCCCCAAGCCCAGCAAGGAAGCAAGGGACACAGGACGTTTCCCTAGGAGAAGAGCTCTGAGACCTGAGGTGCCGCTGGCCAGCACCAGGCTCGTGCTCGTCCCGCCCCCCCACCTCCAGGAAAGCAGGATTGCAGCTGCAAAGAGAGCAGGGCTTGCTCTTCACCAGTGAAACCAAGGCCTGGTGCAGGCCCAGGGGCGGAGGCTGAGGAGCTGGCGAAAAGGCCAAATCCGCAGAGATGAGAACTGGGCGGGAGCTGGCACAGCGCCGGACTCTGGCCCGTCCAGCTTGGTGGAGGACTAGGTGAGAATACTGTGCTTCTGGTACCGGGGCAGTTCAAAATTTTATGGAAACGTGAATTTAAAAATGTTAATTTTGTTACAAAATTTGGAATCCATGCATATATATTTTCTGTGAACTTAATTTTTTTAAAAAAATATTTATTTATTTGAAAGAGAGAGAGGTAGAGACAGAGACAAAGAGAGGTCCTCCATCTACTGGGTCACTTCCCAGGTGGCCACAATGGCTAGAGCTGGGCCGATCCAAAGCCAGGAGCCAGGAGCTTCTTCCAGGTATCCCACATGGGTGCAGAGCCTTAGCACTTGGGCCATCTTCTACTGCTTTCCCAGGCACATTAGCAGGGAGATGGATCAAAAGTGGAGCAGCTGGAACTTGAACCAGTGCCCATATGGGATGCTGGCACGGCAGGCAGTGGCTTTTTCCTGCTATGCCACAGCACAGGCCCCTTCTGTGAAGTTTAAACCATTCATTCATCCATTCATTCATTCAAGAGGGAGAGAGACAGACATCTCCTGTTTACTGGTTCATGCCCCAGATGCCTTCAACAGCTAGGACTGAGCCAAGTGGAAGCCAGAAGCCAGAAACTCAGTCTGGTGTCAGGGATCCAAGTACTTGATCCATCAGCTGCTGCCTCCCAGAGGTGTGCCTTAACAGGAAGCTGGAATCAGGAGCGGAGTCAGGACTCGAACTCAGGTTCTCCGAATGTGGGAAGTGGGCATTGTAACCACGGGCTTGGTTGCCAGGTCACATGTCGCTCCTTCATGAACTCTTTGAAGACCCCTCGTGTGCATGGATTTCAGAATTGTTCTACACGAAAGTAAACTTAGCTTTAATTTCGCTTTCCACAAATGTTTGAAGTAGCTTTTTATATGCACGAGGCGTACAAGGTGTTCTGGAACAGGGCTGGGGAGGAGGAAGCGGTGTGGCTGCCGTGAGGCCGAGAGTTGGCTGTGAACTTGCCCCACCTGTGCAGGGCCGCCATGTGATGTTGTGCAGTGCAGGCAGCGCATGGTGGTGGCCTGGCAGCAGGAGGACAGGCGCTGACGTCCAGCCCACATTCCACCCACCCAGCCGTGCGCTCCTGAAGCTTACAAGAGATGTCGTGTGCGCTGCGGGCTCCCGAGCAGCCCTCAGGGCTACAGCTGAGGTCTGGTCTCTGGAGCCTCCCTGTGCAAGGCCATCACTGCCTTTGTGTGGGCTGTGTGATACGAGAACCCGAAACGGCCAGGCTCAGCTCTCCTGGCAGCAAGGTGGAATTCTTTTGAAACAGGTCTTGAGCCTCTTTATTTTTCTGTAAGATTATAGACATCAAATGAGGTGGCCCCATGCAGTCACAGGCAGCAATGTCTCAGAGTGGTTGAAAGAGTATTTGTCAGCTGGCGCCGCAGCTCAATAGGCTACTCCTCCGCCTGTGGCGCCGGCACCCCGGGTTCTAGTCCCGGTTGGGGCGCCGGATTCTGTCCCGGTTGCTCCTCTTCCAGTCCAGCTCTGTGCTGTGGCCCAGGAGTGCAGTGGAAGATGGCCCAAGTCCTTGGGCCCTGCACCCGCTTGGGAGACCAGGAGAAGCACCTGGCTCCTGGCTTTGGATCAACGCGATGCGCCAGCCGCAGCGGCCATTGTGGGGAGGGGTGAACCAACGGCAAAAGGAAGACCTTTCTGTCTGTCTCTCTCTCACTGTCCACTCTGCCTGTAAAAAAGAAAAAAAGAAAAAAAAAAAGAAAAGAAAGAGACAGAGAAAGAAAGAAAAATAGATAGATAGATTTGTCCCAGCCATTAAGATGTTCTGAGTGGAAAAGAACTTCTCTTAAAAAACAAAACAAAACAAAACAAAAAAAACAAAACTGTCTATTGAAAAGGCAGAGTGACAGAGAGAAGGAGATCCTCTATCTCCAGGCTCACTCCCCAAATAGCTGCAACAGCCAGGTCTGGGCCAGGCCAAAGCCAGGAGCCAGGAATTCCATCCTGGTCTCACACATTGTTTGAAGTAGCTTGTTTGGCAAGGAACCAAACACTTGAGTCATCCTCTAATGCTTTCCCAAATGTGTTAGCAGGGAGCTGGATTAGAAGCAAAGCAGCCAGAATTCAAACTGGCACTTTTTTTTTTAAGATTTAGTTATTTATTTGAAAGTCAGAGTTACACAGAGAGAAGCAGAGGTAGAGAGAAAGAGAGAGAGGTCCTCCATCCGCTGGTTCACTCCCCAGTTGGCCGCAATGGCTGGAGCTGCACTGATTGGAAGCCAGGAGCCAGGAGCTTCTTCCAGGTCTCCCACACAGGTGCAGGAGTCCAAGGACTTGGGCCATCTTCTACTGCTTTCCCAGGCCATAGCAGAGAGCTGGATTGGAAGTGGAGCAGTGGGACTTGAAACGGCGTCCATATGGGATGCCGGCACTGCAGGTGGTGGCTTTACCCGCTATGCCACAGCACTGGCTGCTTGAATTACTTTGGTAAGGGATACCAGTGTTGCAAGCAGCGGCTTACCCCACCATAGCACTACACCGGCCCTGAAGAACATTTATTTACTGATGACTTGAAGTGGACTCATGTAAGAGCGTGGTCCATGGTGGCACATGGGCAAGCAGTGGCACAGCGCAGCCTGCGACCTGGAGCTGAGAGGAACAAGGCCTTGGGGACAAAAGGCTGAAGGCAGCATTGGGCTGCAGCGCTCAGGAAGCATGGCCACCCCGCTGCCCTGCACAAGGGTGAAGGAGCCAGCAGCATGGGCAACAGCCATGCACATCCTCCTGCCGCATGAACTTGGCGTCAGGGAGCCGAGGAGTGCGTGGGAATCCTTAGCCTGACACCCCCGAGTCCCTGCAGACAGGTGGAGGCGGGGCCTGGCTGTGCGCGGCGTCTGCATGGTAGATTCTGGTGCACTTGATGACGTGTCCACAGGAGGGACACGGCACCTCCAAACCCCTTCCTCTCTGTCTGAGCAGATGCAGGAGCTGGAGCAGAGGCTGCTGGAGGCGGAGCAGAGAGCAGAGAACGCGGAGACCCAGGTAACGGGGGAGGGAATCGGCAGGACGCGCAGGCGAAAGGACTGTCCACTTCTCCTGGCCCTCCCTGGGACACACGTGCACACACGCACGCACGCACGCCACGGAGGTGCCCCTTCATGGATGAGAAGAAGCAGCAGTCAAGTTAGATCTGAACAGAGCAGGGTGCACAGAGCTTTCTCGGGGAATGAGGAGCCTTTGCGTGGCGGTCAGTGCCGCGTGGGCGTGGGAGTCCAGGTAGGCGGGGCTACGCCACCGTAGCAGATGGATCTGAAACTCAGTGGGTTATCCTGCTCCTTCTCACTCATGGCACCTCTCCACCGAAGGTCAGCTGGTAGAAGATGAATTCTTTCTTTTTTTTCTTTGAAAGGTTTTATTTTTTATTTATTTATTTATTTTGACAGGCAGAGTGGACAGTGAGAGAGAGAGACAGAGAGAAAGGTCTTCCTTTTTCCGTTGATTCACCCCGCAATGGGCGCTGCGGCCGGCGCGCTGTGGCCGGTGTACCGCGCTGATCCATAGCCAGGAGCCGGGTGCTTCTCCTGGTCTCCATGAGGGTGCAGGGCCCAAGCACTTGGGCTATCCTCCACTGCACTCCCGGGCCACAGCAGAGAGCTGGCCTGGAAGAGGAGCAACCGGGACAGAATCCGGTGCCCCGACTGGGACTAGAACCCGGTGTGCCGGCGCCACTAGGTGGAGGATTAGCCTAGTGAGCCGCGGCGCCGGCCGAAAGGTTTTATTTGTTTGAGAGGTAGAGTTACGGAAAGAGGGAGAGACAGAGAGAAAGGTCTTCCATTCGCTGGTTCACTCCTCAGATGGTCACAACGGCCAGAGCTGCACCAATCCAAAGCCAGGAACCAGGAGCTTCATCCGAGTGTCCCATGTAGGTGCAGGGGACCAAGGACTCAGGCCATCTTCCACTGCTTTCCCAAGCCATAGCAGGGAGCTGGATTGGAAGTGGAGCAGCCAGGACTCAAACCAGTGCCTATATGGGGTGCCGGTGCCGCAGGCAGAGGCTTTGCCCAGTATGCCACAGTGCCAGTCCTCCTTTTTTTTTTTTTTTTTTTTTTTTTTTTTAGATTTTATTTATTTGAGAGGTAGAGTTACAGGAGTTACAGACAGAGAGAGGGAGAGACAGGAAGGAAGGATGAATGAATTCTTCCAGTCAGGGGCCTGGGCAGGGGGATGCCCCATCTTACAGCAGAGCACGTGCAGCTCACAGCCACGTGGTTGCTGTGGCAAGGCAGGAGCTGTGTGCATGTGTCCAGGTGTGGATACTTTCGCCAGAAAGGATGTGCCATTTCCACCCAGAGCCCATTGGTGGGGTGAATGACAGGGCTTCATGTAGTGATAATGGGGTTGGGAAGCAAGGGGCAGCCCCTGGATAGCCAGCGAACAGCAAACATCTCACCACAGCAGGGCTGGAAAGTCACCCGGGAGGCTGCTGTCTGTCCTCCTCAGCTCATCCCAGGCTTAGCTGGTTTCTGCGGAGTAGCCCCAATGAGTTCCTTCTATTGCCCAGATAAGGGTTTACTAATTGCCCAGACCGCCCCGGGTTAGGGCTCTGCTTGGAAGTTGCGGGCTGGGGCAGCAGGAGACATCGTCCCTTTACCGGCCGTAGCCCCCACTGCAGGCGTGCTGGGAGCCCCTCGTGACGTCGCGGGTACTTTGCAGGTGGGCGTGATGGAGGAGAAGCTGAAGCTGTGCAGCCTGAAGAACGTGGACGGCACAGGCAGCCTGCCCCGCAGGTACCAGGAGCTGCTGAAAGCCGTGCAGTGCAAGGATGAGCTCATCCGCCAGCTGCAGGCCCAGCTGGAGGCGCAGGTAAGGGCTGATGGGCGCGGGCGCCAGCCGCCTCTGGCAGCCACGCCAGCTGGCCCCCAGAGTCCCCCTGCTTGCGCCCTCAAGTAACGGGGAAACTTTCTGTCTCGGGTGCTCTTTTATGTGGAAATGGAAGGCCTTTCCCTCTCACATCTGTTCCGTAGAAGCAGGGCAGGGAGTGTGGCAGGAAAAAGGCCTTGCAGGCAGACCCCCTGGGCCTGGATCCCCGCCGCTGTCTGGCTGTGGGCGTTTGCTGAGACGCTGCTGGTCATCTCACACACTTATAAAACAGGTTCTAAAACTTCATAGAGAGTTGGAAGCAGTCGCCCAGGTCCGCAGCGTGTGGTGTCAACCGTGGTCAGTGCTCAGCAGGGGGAGGCACGCTGTGCCCTGCCAGCCTGTGGCACACGAGGCTTGTCTGCTGTATGTCCAGAGCAGCACACAGCTGGATGGCCAGACTGGGTCATCTGGTTGACCAGGTTTCTCTGTGAACCTGAAAAGGCAGAGACCAAACTTGCCACCTCTTCTGGGACCTCGACCTCTCTGAGCAAGTGGGAGCCCAGAAGAGGCCGCCGGCCAGTGTTTCAGCACCAGTCAACCCCTCTGCTCCGGTGAGGACTTCTGAACTTGGCCTCTGCCCAGCCTTCTGGCAGTCTCCTCAGATACCTGCTGGTTCCGTCCCATCCCCCTGCCCCAGGTCTTACCTACCCAGGTCTTCCCTGGGGCCAGGGCCCCATCCGTTTCCAACAAGGGGACCCACGGTATGGTCAGATGACTGTAATCACTTAGTTTATTTGAATGACAGAGACTGACAGTGCATTCCCCAGATGGCTGTAAGAGGTGGGGCTGGACCAGACCAAAGCCAGGGCTGAGAGCTCAATCCAGGGCTCCCACCTGGGTGGCAGGGACCCAGTGATTTGAGCCATCACCCGCTGTCTCCCAGGGTACGCATCAGCAGGAGGCTTGAATCAGAAGCTGAGTTGGGACTCGAACTGAGGCGCTGTGGCATGGGATGCTATGCCAGATGCCTGCGTGGTCAGGTGATCTGTAAGTTCCCATGTAGGTGTTCTCAGATTCATGAGCACCCACTGTGCATTCCCTCGGTGCTGTGCCATTGGATGCTACAGAGCACTGTGTATTCCCGAAAAATCATGGGGGAGTTTCGGCCTGGGGAATCTCTCCCCAGTTTTCTCTTAGATTGGCTCTTAGAAGTGGCAGCATCCTGGGGATTGGTGGACAAAAGGACTCCTGCTAAAGCATCTTAAGCTAGGAAAAAATCATTTTATAGTTGTCATCAGTAGATCAAGATTAGAAGAGAAGGAGTGCTGAAAACATGAATATAAAAGCCCATGAATACAAGGGATCTTCAGAATGGGTGTGGGGAATGAGTGTCATGAAGATACTACGCAGAGATTTCAAAATGGGTTTTTTTTAATGTAAGAGGGAGAGACAGCTGCCATCTGCAGGTTCACTCCCCCCAGATGGCTGCAGTGGCTGAGGGGCCAGTGCTAAAAGGCAGGAATTCAACCCAGGTCTCCCATGTGGATGGCGGGGACCCAACCACTTGAGTCGTCACCACTGCCTCCCAGGGACTGCATTAGCAGGAAACCGGAGTCAGGAGCTGGAGCCTGGGGTTGAACTCAGTTACTCCCATGTGGGGTGCAGGGATCCTAACCGTGAGGCTAAACCCTTTCCTGCTATGAATTTGTTGCAGTCCTGTCATTGTGGAGCTGATGGCACTGTGCTGTGCATTTGCTTTTTAGGGGTGGCCTGGAGGCTCACGGGGATCAGATTGCTTTCCTAGTGTCCCACAGCAAACAAGCCCCGTGTGTAGGATCAGAGTCAATGTCCCACTCTGTCCTAGGTCCCTCTCTTTCTCTTCTGACCCCCTTTACAGTCATCTTCCACCCTCGGCTGTCCTGAGGGACGTACTTCAGGATGTGACCATTGAACCTTGTTTTTACTTGTTGTCTGTGCAGTTAATACAAAGGTATTGTGCCTTTCAAGTAAGAAATCAAAATTATTTAAAAGTTCATGGAGAGGCCAGCATTGTGGCGCAGGGGGTTAAGCTGCCACCTTGTGATGCCAGCATCCCTTATGGGTCCTGGTTTGAGTCCTGGCTGCTCCACTTCTGATCCAGTTCCCTGCTAATGTGCCTGGGAAAGCAGCAGAGGATGGCCCAAGTGCTTGGATCCCTGCACCCATGTGGGAGACCTGGATGGAGTTCCAGGCTCCTGGCTTCAGCCTGGCCCAGCCCCAGCTGTTACAGCCATTTGGGGAGTGAACCAGTAGCTAGAAGATGTCTCTGTCTCTCTCCCTGTCTCTGTAATTCTGCTTTCCAAATAAATAAAACAGGCAAATCTTTTTTAAAAAATCAAAACTGATTTGTTTTTCTATTGGGTCACTCCCCCCGCCCCAGTCACTTGATGGTTCTTCCCAGGACTTCCCGCCTGCAGCCCTTCCCTCTGCTGGTGGCTCCTGGTTAACTCCAGGTCCTCTCTTTCTTTGCAGAAGCGAATGAGAGCTGAGGAAGCAAAAATCGTTCAAGAAAAAGCTGCAAAGATCAAGGAATGGGTGACACTAAAGTTAGCAGAGGTAAGTCCAGAACTCCCCTGGGGGCCTGGCCGGGGAGGGTGAGGAGGCTGCCCCCGGCCCCAGGGCTCCCTGCCGCCCCCTGCTGGTGTTCAGATGGCTTCTGTGTTCACCATCTGCCCTCAACAGCCTGGACACAGAAGCTTGTCCGTTTGCCTTGATTGGGTTTTCCTAGAGCTCCTGATGCACTTTGTGTCCCATGGAAGCTGACCTTCCTTTGAGTACACAGACGCCCCCACCCACTCCTGCTTTCTCCTCCATCTTCTTCATCTTTTTATTTATTTATTTTAAAGAAATGTATTTATTTATTTGAAATGCAGAAAGAGAGAGAGAAAGAAAGAGATCTTCCCACCACTGTTTCACTTCCCAGATGGCCGCAAGGGCAGGCTCTGGATCAGGCTGAAACCAGGAGCCTAGAACTCCATCCAGGTCTCCCACATGGGTGCAGGGGCCCAAGCCCTTGGGCCATCTTTTGCTGCTTTCCCAGGTGTGCATTAGCAGGGAGCTGGATCAGAAATGAACCAGAGCTGCAGTGTGGGATGATGGTGTTGCAAGTGATGGTGCCATAGCACCAGTCCCTCGGTGAACCTTGTGAAATACTCTTCTATACACAGTTTGCCATTCTGTATTTCAAGTGTACGCCTCGGCCAGTGGCGTGAAGTATGTTCACAGTGTCCTGCGGCCATCATCACTGTCTGCCTGCAAAACTCTTCGCCCCATGCAGAAACTCTGTGCCCACCAAGTACTGATGATTCTCCATTCTTTCTCCCCACCAGCTCCCCAGGAACCTCTGTCTCCCTTCCCTCTCTCTCCATTCATTGCTTTTTTTTTTTCCCTCTCATTTTATTTTTTGAAAACTTTTAATTTGGCCGGCGCCACGGCTCAATAGGCTAGTCCTCTGCCTGCGGCACCAGCACCTGGGGTTCTAGTCCCAGTTGGGGTACTGGATTCTGTCCTGGTTGCTCCTCTTCCAGTCCAGCTCTCTGCTGTGGCCCGGGAGTGCAGTGAAGGATGGCCCAAGTGCTTGGGCCCTGCACCCACATGGGAGACCTCTGTCTGTCTCTCTCACTGTCCACTCTGCCAGTCAAAAATAAAACTTTTAATTTGGCCAGTGATGCAGCTCAGCAGGTTAAGCTGCAGCCTGAAGCACCTGTATACCATATGGGCACCAGTTCAAGTCCTGGCTGCTCCACTTCCGAGCCAGCTCCCTGCTAATGTGCCTGGAAAAGCAGTGGAGGATGGCCCAAGTCTCTGGGCCCTTGCACCCATGTGGAAGACCTAAAAGAAGCTCCTGGTCCCTGACTTTGGCCTGGCACAGCCCTGGATGTTGCCGTCATTTGGAGAGTGAACCAGTGGATAGGAGAGCGCGCTCTCCCTCTCCTTTCTCTCTCTCCATAACTCTACCTTTCAAATAAATCAGTCTTAAAAAAATAAAAACTTTGAATTATGGGGCCAGTATTATCCATATGAGCCCTGGTTCGAGCCCCAGCTGCTCCACTTTGATTCAGCTCCCTGGTGATGTGCCTGGGAAAACAGCAGACAATGGCCCAAGTGCCTGGGCCCCTGCCACTCGCATAGGGAACCCAGATGGAGTTCCAGGCTCTTGCTTTGGCCTGGCTGAGTCCTAGCTGTTGTGGCCATTTGAAAATGAACCAGTAGATGAAAGATTTTCTCTCTCTATCTGTGTGTGTGTATGTGTGTATCTTCCTCCTTTCAAATAAATAAATCTTAAAAAAAACCCATTCCAGTTAACATGTAATACTTACATATTTGTACAGTGCAGTGTTCTAGCATTGTGTAAACAATGTAAACCACTCAAACCTGGCAGCCAGCCTCTCCAGTTCCTTATCTTTTCTTCTGTGTGGAGCCTGCCAGCTCCTCTCTTGCAGTTCCTCACACAGAATAGAATGCATTATTGTGAACTGAAGTCACACACAGCACTTGTTCCTTCTTTCTGACCATTGTGGTCCTTGTTGTCCAACTTCCCTCTGTCCCCCTTCACTCCTTCCCGTCGCTGGTGATTGATTTTCTAAGTTCAGGGACCCAAGTACTTAACATTTTTCTAACTTCTGCAGCTGAGAAAGAACAGAGAGTGGTTTTCTGTGTCTAGCTTATCTCATTTAATGATTTCAAGTTCCGTCCATTTTGCTGCAGAAGTCAGATTTTTGTTCTTTCTGTGAGTTGATAACAGACGGTTGTGTTTATAACTGCATTTCTCTGCTTGGTTCATCCTTGGGTGGACACAGGCTGATTCCGTGTCTTGCTGCAGTGCTATGAACAGACAGAACAACGTCTTTCTGGAGTGTGCATTTGGGGCAGCAGCTAAGGCACCGCTGGAGAGACCTGCATCCCTCACTGCAGTCCTGGGGTTGGAGTTCAGCTCCTTTCCCACCCAGCCTCCTGCTAATGCGCACCCTGGGAGGCAGCAGATGATGGCTCAGGTGTGTGAGCCCCTGCCACTCCATCCACCTAGGTGGAGTTCCTGGCTCCTGGGTCCAGCCTGGCCTCACCCCAGCTTTTTTGGGCATTTGAAGAGGAAACCAATGGATGGGAGATCTCTCTGTCCGTCATCTCTGTCTTCCAAAGAAATAAAACTAAATAAACAAAACCATCTAGCCTCTTTCTAAACAAAAGGAAAAAGATCACAAGACTGGAAAAGGACCGACGTGATTCTTTGCTTCCTCTTCCTCTTGGTCAGGTGGTTTGCACCTGCAGGGGGCGTGGCCCACCTCGCTGCCCATTCCTCTCTTTCAGTGCACCTCTCAGGTCACCTGCTGGAGAGCAGATTCCGGGGACAGACTGACACCTGCTTTGCCTCCGTATTCCCTCAGCACTGACTCTTGATACTCGATGCTCAATAAAATGTTAGATTTAATGTAGAGGAAACTGCAGGCAAGGCAATGAGTCCAGTAAACTTAGAAGCAGGCTACTGTTAGCACAGAGGGAAGGACCTGCGATTGCGCAGGGGCAAGGCAGGGAGTTATCTTGGCTGCTGGCGAATTTCTGTTTCCTAACCTGGGTGATGTGCCGTGAGCATTCATTTCAGAGCCACTTAAGCTATTCATTGATGTAGGGTGCAGTTTTCTGTGTTATAGGAGGGTTTTCCAAAAAGTTCGTGGAATATGGAATTCAAAGATAAATTTATTTGATGCAAAAAAAATTTAGGAATCCATGCAAACCAGGGATCTTCAAAACATTCGTGGAAGCAGATAAAGAAAAGCTATACAAGCATTTCAAAAATGGAATTCCAGTCTCCACCAACTTTTTGAAGTACTCTCATATAACACAATTTTATTAAAGGTTAAAAATAGCTAGAAAAGGAAGTGTGGGGGCTGCCAAATGGAATTCCATCCCCACACAAACCAGTTGGCAGAGAGGGAGGGAGGAGGCCAGACTCCCCTCAATGATAGGGGGGTGGGGACACCACCTGTTTTGTTTTAAAGACTTGGGCTTTTAACCCTATTTTGAATTATGTGTCTGAATTTGTAGGATGGGTATTTCTTTTTATTTTTTTAAGATTTATTTATTCATTTGAAAGGCAGAGTTATGGACAGAGAGGAAGAGACAGAGAGAGGTCTTCCATCTGCTGGTTCACTCCCCTGATGGCCACAGAGGCTGAAGCTAGGCCGATCTGAAGCCAGGAGCTTCTTGGTTTCCTACATGAGTACAGGGGCCCAAGTACCTGGGCCGTCCTCCACTGCTTTCCCAGGTACACCAGCATGGAGCTGGATCAGACGTGGAGCAGCCAGGACATGAACTGGTGCTGATGCTGCAGGCAGTGGCTTTGCCTGCCACGCCACAGCACCAGCCCCAGGATGGGAATTTCTAAATCTTCATTTTTCTTTCTGCTTAGCTTGAAACGGAGAATCAGCACCTGAAGAGTTGTAATCGGCACCTGGTGGAGCAGGTGGGAGCCCTTCAGGATGCACTAGATGGTAGGTGTGTGTGTCTGTGTGTGGGTTTGTGTGTGTGTGTGTGTGTTGTGTGTTCAGGATGCACTACAAAGTAGGTGGGCCAGGGTGTGTGGGTGTGTGGGCAGGAAGCACTAGAAGGTAGGTGGCCGAGTGTGTGTGTGTGTATGTGAACGTGTGTGCAGTGTGCACGCACACACAACAGGTGGGGTGTGGGGCTGAATCAGAGGAGCTCTCAATTTTCCTGGTTTTGCTCCAACCACAGCTCTTCGGATGGTGCCTTCAGGGAAGCTGATGTCCTCCCAGGAATCCCCAGAGCCGGATTTTGTCCCTTCTGAGCCAGGCCCCCAGCCTGTGGGGCAGGACCCTGGTCCCCAGGCTCAGGGTTTCAAGGTGTCTGTGCCTGAAGATTCTCCAGGGTCCCTGCAGAGCAGGGACCTTGTTTGTGAAGCAAGAAGCTCCTTGGATGATTCTAGTCCCAGTGTGATCCAATCTGGGAAAACAGCAGAGGCCCAGACGCTTCAACCCCATCTGGGTAGAGAAGGCTCTCCCAGTCGGCTGTGCGTGAAAGCTCGCGCCCCGAGACGCGGCTCAGCCTCCTGGGGTGAGGGCCTGCTCACAGCTCGGGGAGGGCTGCTCCCTGGGACCAAGACCTCTGTCAGGGAAGGTGGTCCTGGCAGCAGCCTGACCCTCCCAAAGGCACGGGCTCCCGGCACCCCCCGGGACAGCATCCAGCTGGCCAAGAGGCACCACAGCCAGCCCCAGGTGGGCCCTGGACACTTGGACCACACGGTGCGCATTGAGATCGGGGTCCTCCCGGTCCTGCACCCTTCTGGCCTTCCGAAGCTGAAGACTCCAGCTCAGATCTGGGAAGAGCCAGAGAAGATGGAGATGGAGGAGCCGCTGCCAGCAGGGAAGAAGGACGTGAGAGCGAGCCTGAAGGCCCCCGGAAGCGAGCTGGAGGAAGTGGAGCTGGGGAGCACGCCGCCCACGCCGCCCCTGCACCGGTTTCCTTCCTGGGTAAGAGACCACCTTAGGGCTGGGCAGCGGGGCAGAGCCGGCGACGGGAGCACCGTGCCTCGAGCACGTCCAACCTGGGCACGTGAGGCTTCCGTCCTCACGTGGTCCCGGGAGGTGGGGCATGGGACCTGCCCCTGAAATGAGGTGGGCCGTGGCAGCTGTCACTTCCTGAGTGCTCATCGGGTGCCGCCCATCGAGCTGGGTCCTCACGGACTGTGCACCCTTTTTTACGCAATTCATCTTCGTAGTTCATTTGAGTGGTGTAGTGTGGTGGTGAGCACAGGTTCCAGGTGCCACCTCTGGGGCTGAATTGCTGAGTGACCCTGGGCTTGTTATTGAACCTCTATGCCTTAGTTTTCCTGGCAACAGCAGTTCCCAATGAGTGGTCTGTACACGCCGGCTGTTTTAATTTCCTTACTTTTAGCATTGGGTGAAGTGACACTCGGTGGAATTGCTTCAGAATCATTGAATTGGGCTGGCGCAAGGGAGATAGGGATGACCTGACTGGCTAAACTGGGCGTGATCACATGAGGATGTTTTGACATCACGAGATGTCAGCTGCTTTCTTGCTTGTCTGTCTTGATGCTCCAGTCGCATCAGGCAGTAGTACCGCAGGGGATATGTGAGTGCCCATGCCTGGCAATACAGCAGCTGGAGCACCCTGGGGGAACGAGGGTTGCAGCGTGTGGCACCACCCCACACTGCTGCTGGGAAGCCCACCTTGCACCCTCGGGGCCTTACCCGGAAGGGCTGCTTCAAGGACACTCTTGGCCCCTGTAGGCTTGGGACATGGGAGAGTGCAGCGGCCCCCCAGGGCCAGCCAGTCTGCAGGCCATGGCTGCTGGCCAACTGCTTTCGTAGTCAGAGTCCTAAAGAAGAGACGCAGGTGAGCCGGGGACAAAGGATGTGGCAGAAGGGCCATAGTTGTCGCGTTCTGTCGAGACAGAATAGGATGTGGATAAAGGTCTATGCAGGTGGGTTTATTAGAACTGGCTTGTGTGGTGGCAGGGGCTAAGAAGTCCCATGACAGGTTCTCCCTAGGCCGAGACTGTGTCTCGGACCCAGCCAGGGCCTCAGAGCCGGGAAAGCTGAGGTGTAACTGTGCGTTCAAGGCCAAGGGCCTGCGTCCAGGAGTGGGCCGCTGGTGTAGGACTTGGAGCCCAAAGGCCAGCAGCTGCCATCCAAAGCAGGAGTCGAGCGAGCCCCAGCTGCCGGAGTATTTATTCTCTCCAGACCAACCCCTGCCTGTCCACGGGGTCGCCCATGTCGAGGCCGGGCCTCCCACCTACTCCTTAAGCACTAGTCTCACACTGGGAAACACCCCCACAGACACTCCCAAAGCAATGCATTTCCAGGTTCCTAGGTATTTCTTCATCCAGTCAGGTGACAGCACAAAATTAACCTCACGAGGGCGCAGCGGCTATCACCGGAAGTGTGCTGCTCTCGGCCGCCATTTTGCCGGAAGTGGTGCTGGTCCTGCCCTGTCAGGTTCAGAGCTTGGGCTGGGGAGGGGAGAGAGAAGGACCCAGATAAATGTTATGGCGAGGCAGCGTGCATGAACATCGGCCGCCACAAGGGGCAGCGTCGAGCCTTGCAGTTGAATTTGTCTCCTGGTTTTGATATTCTGTTTGCCCCTGAGGGAAAACCAGAGGGCGTGGATAGGACAGCCGGGTCCCTGAGGAAGGATCTGAGCCCAGTGGGTTTCTCGGGCAGCACCTGGTGCTCCCCAGCACCAGGGAGGCAGGTTTAGCCGTTTGTGGACCCTTTGTTCTGAGGGTCCTTTGTTTTGCTTAACCTGAGCCCCTCATTTCCTCTGCTAGGTCGGAGGCCTGCCCTGAGTTTAAGGGCAGAAATCATCTTTTTGATGCCCACTTCCGTGCACTGGCGCACGGCAGGATGCCCTTCCTCTGTCGGGTCTCCTGCCCCGAGATACCTCCCGGTAACGGCCTCCAGCTGGGAGGACCCGTGCCTCCCAGGGCCTGACCTCCCCTGTGTGACTCACCCGTCACCTGAGCAGGCTTTGTTTTCCTGCCTGGAGAAGCCTGGATGGTCTTTGCGGGTTGTTTGGGAGAAATCAGCTCCCTGGGGCTGTGGGGCGGGGTGTGGAGGGAAGGATTCTCTCGTGTTAGCATCCTCTATGTTGGGGCTCTGGGGTCCCTAGCTTGACCCTAGGACCCAACCAGAGTGTGTTCTTGGTTCCAAATTGCCAGTTTCCTAGGGAACCTCAACCTCCTAGCCATCAGCACCCCCAGCAGCTGGAGTGGCACCTGCTACTCCCGGTCCCTGTGGTTGGTGCGATTCTGACCTGCTTGCCTCCTGACCTCTTTTTTATTTTTTTATTTTAAGATTTTTTTTGAAAGGCAGCATTACAGAGAGAGAGGGAGAGACAGATTTTCCATGGGTTTTGTGAAGTACCTGCGTGTATCTCGGGTGTTAGATGACTGTTTGTTTTATTTGACTCTCACAGCAGCCTGAATGAAGGGTCAGTGTTGTTGCCTGTCTAGAGGCTCAGAGATGACAGAACTTGCCCAAGGTTCTTCTGCTAGGAACTGGCCAGGCCTGGATGCGCACTCACTTCTGCCTGCCTCCAAAGCCAGGCTTTAACTTCCAAGTGCCAGATGGGGCCGGGGCCTGACCCTCCTGGGGCCTCTCATTCCAGGAGAGTCGGATCTACGCCGTGGCCACGTCGGGCATGCAGCTCTCGGATGTGTCCCCCAGAAGTAATGCTGCCTGCTGCGGTGAGTCCCCGTGAGGCTGGGAGGGACTGTGCTGGGCAAGGTGGGGAGATTCTGGAACCTACTCCCTTCCCCAGCAGGTGCAGTCGCACAGCAGGGGCTCCCTGGGAGGGATAAGGAAGGCAGATCCAGCATCAGTGACTCTCTGGGATGGGGAAGAGCTGGGGGGACGAGGGCAGCGATCAGGGCTGTAGCATTCATGGAGCTGGGAGGTGTCTAGGGGGGTGGGGGTCCGCCAGCCCAGCTCCCCACCTGCACAGACTTCCCTGATGCAGGGCAAAAGGTGTGGAGCAGGAGGAGCCCCAAGTGCCTGACACGGGTGAACCCCAGCCTCTGGCCACGGTGGTGGGAGTGCCCTGTGGGCGCAGCATTTGTAAGTCACCTCAGAGAGAGAGACCCTGTGCAAGCCCCGCACAGAGGGCAAGTGGTTAAGGGACAAGACTTTTGGAGTTCAGTGTGGTAGATCCTTGGCTGCCTGGGGACTACTGTCCCCTAAGGAAGTCAGTGGGGAAGGGAAATAGGGAGAGAAGGCCTTGGCCCCTTTCTGAGGTCTGCCACCCAGGGTGCTCCTGAAGGGGCCCCTGGCAGCACCGGTCCGCCAGCCCCTGTCCTCTTACTGGGTGACGCCTTTGAGTTCATCCCTCCCTCTTTCCCCACCTCAGCTTCCAGCCCTCCTGCCCTCACGTCTCCTGGGCCTTTCTACAAGAATGTCACTGTGCCTGTCTACACAGCTCTGAAGGGGGTAAGAAGCCACTGTACAACGCGGGGCGTCGGGGCGGGCGTTTGGCATAGCTGTGAAGACACTCACATCCCATGTTAGAGTACCTGGGTTTCAGTGCCAGCTCCTGCCAGCTCCTGCTGTGGGCTCCAGCTCCCTGCTAATGCAGACAGACCCTGGCTCGAGTGAGTAAGTTATTGTCGCCCGTGTAGGGATCCTGGGTTGGGCTCCTAGCCCCTGGGTTTGGCACAGCACAGGTCGTTGCAGGCATTTGGGGAGTGAACCAGTGGTTGGGAACTCTTTCTTTCTCTCTCCCCCCCAGATACATTTATTTAATTTTTTGAAGATTTATCTATTTATTTGAAAGGCAGAGCAAGAGAGAGAGAGAGAGGGAGAGAGCAAGCAAGCAAGCAAGCAAGCATGAAAGCTTCCATCTGATGGTTCGTTCCCAAATGCCTGCAATGGCCAGGGCTGGACGAGGCTGAAGCCAGGAACCCAGAATTCTATCCAGGTTGCCCACGTGGGTGGCAGGGGCCCAAGCACTTGGGTCATCTTTCATTGCTTTCCCAGGCCCGTTAACAGAGCTGGACCGGTACTGGCTCAGCCAGGACTCAAGATGGCACTCCCATCTTTTGTGCCATAATGCTGTAATGACTATGGTGGGGCTCAGGGGTCAGGCTTCTGCAGCTCAGTCAGCCACCATGTGAGTTTTGCTTTGCTGTTTGTTAGATTTGTATTGTACAAATTGTACCTTTGAATCAGTATGAACATGGGCAGAGAATCTCCCCTCCCATCTTCTCTCGTGTCTGTGCACCCCTGGGTCCCAGAGGCAATGAGGCCCCTTCCGAGCTTGTTCCTGTGTGTGCAAACACATTTCCAAACATCAGCTATAACCGCAACACCATGTTTTCATACACATTTTTGTTTTCTCATTATTGGGTTTTGAATCAAAATAGTATAGTAATACTTGATACAACTCTTTATAGAAGTATAGAAAAAAAAAAAAAAAAAAAGCAGATGTCCTCTCACATTGCTTTTCCCTAATTCATAACCCCAGGGGCAACTTTATGAATGGCTTGGTGCTTATTCTGTAGGCCCCCTGATGCGTTTCCAAATATGCTGTTTCTCTGTCACGCACACGGTGGGGGGTGTCATATTATACATACAGTTTGTTTATCAGCTGTTCACCAGCCATGTGTCAGGTCATCCTGTGACTGTCCACGCACAGCCCTGCCCCGTCCCTTGTATATACACTGCCTGCTTTAGATCCAGGGTAGGGAGCATCCAGCCCGCAAAGTCATTTGGTCTGACCCTGCCAAGGTAACTGCAAGCCGGACTCTAAATTCAATAAACCTATGGCAGACTAATGTTTTCAGTTGATCATTGTGTATGGCCCGTGAATGATGTGTCCAAATGATGTGTCCAAATGGCCCTTGGCAGAAAACAGGTTCCCCATCCCTGTTCTAGATGCACCATAGCTACTTTGATTACAATTTCCTGTTTCTGTCTAAAATAAACATTGCAGGGGAGGGCAGAGAGGAATAAGTGGTGCATTGAACATCGTGCAAATATCCCTGTGCACTTACATACACACGTTTCTGCAGGACAGTTCTAGAAGTGGACTTCAGGGCAGATCTTACAGATGTTTCAGATGTTGACAGGTGCTAACAAGTTGCCTTCTTTTTTTTTTATTTTTTATTTTTTGACAGGCAGAGTGGACAGTGAGAGAGAGACAGAGAAAAAGGTCTTCCTTTTGCCGTTGGTTCACCCTCCAATGGCCGCCACAGCCAGCGCGCTGCGGCCGGTGCACCGCACTGATCCGAAGGCAGGAGCCAGGTACTTATCCTGGTCTCCCATGGGGTGCAGGGCCCAAGCACTTGGGCCATCCTCCACTGCACTCCCGGGCCACAGCAGAGAGCTGGCCTGGAAGAGGGGCAACCAGGACAGAATCCGGCGCCCCGACCGGGACTAGAACCCGGTGTGCCAGCACCACAAGGCTGAGGATTAGCCTATTGAGCCGCGGCGCCGGCCAAGTTGCCTTCTAAAATCACCTTGTTTCTCTGCAGTGTCCTGTTTGCCACATTCTCCAGTTACCCTCTCCAGCGTTGGCATAATTGACCCTTTTAAATGTTTGCCAATCATGATGGTCTCTCACTGTTTCATCAGTCCCCACCCAGTGGTAAAGCTCCTGTTCCATGCTTGGCTTGGCTGTCTGGCCCCCTAGTGACCAGGAGCAAGGGCCGCAGCCATCAGGTGTTCAGTCTGGATGGGGCATTTCCTTTGGGGACCGCAGCAGAGGACATGTGCGGGAGGCAGGCCCGGGGAGGTGTAGACACAGGAGTGAGGACAGGAAGGGGCCCATCACTGTTTGGGACAGTTGTGTGGCAGTGCTCCAGCTGGAGCGTGGCCTTGATGCACCTGCAGGGTGGGAGGGGCCTGTCTTGCAGCCTGGGCTGCAGCAGGTGAGGAACCTGTCTTGCAGAGAGCCATGCAGATCAGCAGTGTGCCCTTCATGGACGAGTCCTCCGGCTCCGACGATGACTGCAGCTCTCAGGCGAGTTTCCGGATGTCCGTCCCCTGCTCTGAGTCCCGGAAGACCAGTGGGCTGGGCAGCCCTCGGGCCATCAAGAGAGGTAGAGAAGGGGAGTGGGAGAGGAGCTACCAGGGGCTCCTCGCTTCTTCCCAAGGGCATTTGTACACGTGGTTGGGGGTGGGGGGGTTCATGCTAGATCTGTATCCAGGACCCCCAGCAGCTCCAGCCTCAGCCCTAGCCTGGGTGATGCGATGGGGGAGGGGCAGGACCTGGCCTTGACTCCTCCTCCTGTGGCAGGTGTCTCCGTGTCCTCACTGAGCTCCGAGGGCGACTATGCCATCCCCCCTGATGCCTGCTCACTGGACAGTGACTACTCGGAGCCTGAGCATAAACTGCAGCGCACCTCATCCTACTCCCCCGACGGGCTGGGCCCAGGCACGGTGAGCTGGGGGCACAGCCCCTCCTGGTGGGCAGGGCAGGGTGGAGCAGACCGCGGCTGCGTGCAGTGGGGGCTCCCTAGGGTGGCTGGAGGGAGGGAGGGAGGGGGTATGGGGTGGGGAGTGACAGTTTCGGTCAGACACACAGACCCCAGGAGGCAGGACTCCTTGGCCAACCAGGAAGGGCTGGTTACTGAGAGTCCGCCCCCAGCCCCATGGCACGTTTCACAGGTATGAATAGTACCTTTCTGCACCCCAGCCCTGGGATGCTACCCATGTTAACATCTATCGAGCCCTTGCTGTGTGCCGGGCCCCGTGCTCAGGGCTTCTCATGCTGTGTCTCATTTGTCCTCAATCCTCTTGGATTAATGCTCCATTTTACAGATGGGAAGAGTGAGGCTCAGAGACATGCTTCTTCATGCCAAGACCAGCAGTAGTAAATAAATATCTGCCTCACTCCCCAGCCCTGGCTCCACCCATCCCTGTCCTCACACACCCTGTCCCGTGCCCCCTGCACCCAGCCTGGCTGTGCTGCACGCTGTGCCCCACACCTGCCTGTCCTTGCTCCCTCCCTCCTCTCGACTCATCCTGGAAGAGAGGCTGACCTTCCTTCCAGAGCTCTGTCTTGAAGCCCACCCAGGCCAGCTTCTCGCAGCCCCTGGCGCGGTGACCCTTCCACAGCAGGTCCCCGTGCTTTGTTGGTCCTCTTCATGGCAGAGCACAGGGCCCTGAAAGTGCACAGTAGGTGCTCAGGCATTTTTAAAAAACTGATGACAAAGACAGGACTCTGCTGGACCCTTGTGGCCAGGAGCCCCAGGTGATGTCCCTGTTCTGTGCCCCTGGCCCCCTCTCACCCCTCAGGAGTCGCTGGAGAAGTCGGGCTACCTGCTGAAGATGGGCAGCCGTGTGAAGACGTGGAAGAGGCGCTGGTTTGTCCTGAGACAGGGACAGATCATGTACTACAAGTCCCCGGTGAGACGCTCCAGGCCCAGACTGTGCGAGAGGGGTGGGGAGGCAGGAAGCCGGAGGGCAGAGGTCTGGCAGGTGGGAAAGCAGTCGCACACGGGCCCAGCAGGCAGGCAGCGAAGGCCGTCCAGGCCGGTTGGCCCGACTGCCTCTTCAGAAGCTGATTCCTGCCACGCCTGGTGCTGTGTGAGAGCAGGGCTCTCGGGCCGCCCTCCTGTCGTCTGGGTCGCTCCAGCAGGCAGGGCCATTGCCCCTGGACCTCCCTCCTCTGCGGTTTGGAATTAAGGAGGCTTGGAAGCTGGCAGCTAGTCTGACAGGACCTCCCTGGAAAACCAGTTTTAGTGTCTTAACGAAGGCAAGAGGGCTTGTCTCTTGTGAACTCCAGTTAGTTGGTAGTGGCTGTCTTCAGTGCCGTATTATAGATTTTCAGTCTGTATTGCTCTGTGAGAAGTGTGCCACAGTTGCTTAGTCATGTCTGTAACGGCGCTGGAAAGAATCACTGAGATAGATGAGGGAACTTCAGAAATTTCATGGAAAATGGAATTAAAAGGTGTTTGGATGTGAAAAAAAAATTTGAAACCATGCATGTGTTTTACTTAATACATGTTTTCCATGAATATTTAAAAAAATACCTTTTGACATATCACTTATTTTCGATATCTTATATGAAAGATATAGTAGAAAATTTAATAGCTTTATAATTCAGTAATAACTTGGTGACTTCTGACTCAATTTTTTTGTTTATCTTGAGAGAGAGAGGCAGAGAAACTTACAGAGAGACAGCTCTCATCTGCTGGTCCACTCCCTAAACACCCACATCAGCCAGGAGGCTGAGCCTGGAGCTGGGCCCTCGGCCTAGGACTCCCGCGTGGGTTGCAGAGCCGCAGCCACCTGAGCCATCCCTGCTGCATCCAGGCTGTGCGTTCTCAGGAAGCTGGAATCGGGAGCAGAGCCAGGACCCAATCTGAGGCACCCTGATACGGGATGCTGGCATCCTAATTGGTGTCTTAGCTCCTTGGCCAAACGCCTCCTCCCGCCCCCGACCCAATTGTAAAGGCTCACTCTGTCCTCTCCGTGCCTGTGTCGGGGGCCTCACGTTTCTAACTGTGGCTCCATTCAGACCCGGAATCCAGGGCAGGTTGTCCACCACACCGTGGCCTTTCCCCTTGCCTGTGGCCTGGAGTACGACGTGAGGGCGAGTGATACACACTGTGTCCACACTCCAGCCGCTATCCCCGGTCCTTCCTTTCCAGAGTGATGTCATCAGGAAACCGCAAGGTCAAGTGGATCTGAACTCCCGCTGCCAGATTGTCCGAGGCGAGGGGGCGCAGACGTTCCAGGTGAGCGTGCCCGCTGGAAGAGGTGCTGGTTCTGGCTGTGGCCGTGGCTGTGACTGAGACAGGATGGGTGCACGTGATCAGCACCATTGGGAGTGAAAGGGGGATGTGACGGGTGTGAGAGACGAGCACGGGGGGCACGGCAGGGAAGGACAGGTGGAGGGGGAAAGGGAGGGAGCATCGGGAAGCAGGAGGGCCCTCCCCACGGGTCCCTGACTTGTGCTGCCCAGCGCCACTGTCTGCTGTCTCCCTGGCCTGATGCCTCCCCCTGCACAGCTCGTCTGCGAGAAGAAGACTTACTACCTGACGGCAGATTCACCCAGCCTGCTGGAGGAGTGGATCCGCGTGCTGCAGAGCCTGCTGAAGGTGCAGGCCACGGGGCCTCCAGCCCTGCCCCAGGGCGGCACCAAGCCCACCGTGAAGGGCTGGCTGACCAAGGTACGGGGTGGGGGCCGCGGAGGGCCGGCCTGCTCTCTGCAGGAACTTCCTCCCAGCGGTGAGCCGGTCGGCCTCAAACACGGCCTGATCTGGCCGCACGAGGTGACCGAGGGTGAGTCCCGGCAGCTGTTCTAACGGGAGGGGAAGGAACGCCTGTGCCCATGTGGGGCTCATTGCAGGCTGCCCGCCAACCGCAGCACAGAATTCATAGCGGGAAGGAGAGACCTAGGTGAGAGAGGGAGGCAGGCAGGGGCACTTGAAGACTTGGCGTATCCCAGGCCTGCTTTAGAGGCTTTTTATTTAGGGCCCTTCTGGTTGCAGAGCAGAGATGCACTTGTTATCCCTAAGGAGAGGGAAAGGAACCAGGAAGCACCTCACCTAGACCAGAGCACCTGCAGCAACTCGCGGGCTCGCTCTGCCACCCTGTCCCCCGGCTGCCAGTGCTCAGGTCACCCCTGCCTGTCTGCAGCTTCTGTTCCCTCTTGATCTCCGGCCGCCCTGGGGCTCAGCTTCCTGGGGCCCCACCCACCCTCTGGGCGTCCTGTGATCTGTGGCCTCCACCAGCCAGCAGGTTCCTCCTATTTTCCTATTCACAGAGGGGCCATCTGATTGGCCTGGTTTATCTTTTTTTTTTCTTTTATATTTATGTATGTATTTGAGTTAGAGAGGGGGAGAGACAGAGCTAGATCTTCCATGCACTAGTTCACTCCTCACATGGCCACAACAGCTGGGGCTAGGTCAAGCCGAAGCCAGGAGCCCAGAATTCTCTCCAGGTCTCCCACGCGGGTGCAGGGGCCCAAGCACTTTGGCCATCTGCTGCTGCTTTCCCAGGCCAGAGCCAGGAACTGGATCAGAAATGGAGCAGCTCCATCTCCAGTTGGCCCCCATATGGGATGCCGGCATCGCAGGTGGTGGCTTTACCCGCATGCCACAGTGCCGGCCCCTGGTTTATCTTTTAATTTATATAAAGTAATCACGCTTAGCTGTTGGGCACAGTGTGGCATTTCGGTGCTGCGTACTGTGCGTGGTGATCAGATCAGGGTGCTTGGCATATTTATCGCCTCCGACGTTCGTCATTTCTTTGCGTGGAGAGCATTTAACGTCCTCTCTACTAGCTGCTTTGAGACAGTCGGTTAGTTGCTGTCAGCCGCAGGTATCCTGCTGTGCTATAGAGGAACACTGGGAATTATTCCTTCTTTCCGACTGCACCCCAGTACCTGTTCACTAACCATCCTACCCTCCCTCCTGCAGCCTGGATAATCTTTTATAACTCATTTTCCATGAACCTTAAAAAAAAATATTTTCAATTTTATTTGAAAGGCACAGAGACAGACACAGATGGAGAGAGAGCTTCCATCTGCTCGTTGATTCCCCACATGCCTGCAGCAGCCATGGCTGGGCCAACCCAAAGCCAGGAGCCTGGAGTTCAATCTGGGTCTCCCACACGAGTGACCAGGACCTAAGTATCTGAGCCATCATCTGCTGTCTGCCAGGGTGTGTGTTAGCAGGAAACTGGATCAGAAGCAGGGCTTGAACCAGGCACTCCACTGTGCGCTGTGGGCATTCCAAGTGGCAAGTTAACCACTGTGCCAAATGCCTGCCTCCTAGCTCATCTTTTAATGGCAGATCATGGGACACAGAATAGCCCGAGGAGAGCTGGAGTGCCACGTGGTACATGCACGGCACCCTTGTTGTGAAGGAGGTTTCGGGGTGCACGTTTGGCCTAGCAGTTAGGATCCAGCTAAGGAGCACGCGTTAGGTGCAGTGGTTAAGATGCTGCTTGGGGCCGGCGCCGCGGCTCACTAGGCTAACCCTCCGCCTAGCGGCGCCGGCACACCGGGTTCTAGTCCCGGTTGGGGCGCCGGATTCTGTCCCGGTTGCTCCTCTTCCAGGCCAGCTCTCTGCTGTGGCCAGGGAGGGCAGTGGAGGATGGCCCAAGTGCTTGGGTCCTGCACCCCATGGGAGACCAGGAGAAGTACCTGGCTCCTGGCTTCGGATCAGCACAGTGGGCCGGCCGTGGCGGCCATTGGAGGGTGAACCAACGGCAAAGGAAGACCTTTCTCTCTGTCTCTCTCTCTCTCTCTCTCACTCTCTCACTGTCCACTCTGCCTGTAAAAAAAAAAAAAAAAAAATGCTGCTTGGGATGCTCGCATCCCCTATTGGAGTGCTCAGGTTCAAGTCCCAGCTCCACTCCCACCACCTTCCTGCTAACGTGCACCCTGTGAGGTGATGGCTCCAGTACTTGGGTTTCTGCCGTGTATACCGGAGACCAGATGGAGCTGCTGACTCCGGGCTTTAGCCTGGCCCTGATGTTCTAGGTATCTGGGGATTGAACCAGTGCGTGGGAGCTCTTTTTCTGTCTCTGTCTCTCTGCCTGTCCAATAAATAAAAATGTTTTAAGGGGCTGGTGTTGCAGCACAGCAGGTTGGGCCACCACCTGCAATCCTGGCATCCCGCACGAGGGTCAGCTGGAGTCCCAGCTGCTCCACTTCTCTCTCTCTCGCTGTCTCTCTCTTTTTTTTTTTTTTTTTTAACATTTATTTGAAAGGCAGAGTCACAGAAAAAGAGAGAGACTGAGAGACAGAGATCTTCTATCTACTGGTTTATTCCCCAAGTGGCCACAAAGGCCAGGGCTGGGCCAGACTGAAGCCAGGAGCCAGGAGCTTCTTCCAGGTCTCCCATGTGGGTGCAGGGACCCAAGGACTTGGGCCATCTTCCACTGCTTTCCCAGGCTGTAGGCATGGAACTAGATTGGAAGTGGAGCGGCCAGGACACGATCCCACACTGGGATGCCAGTGTCGCAGGCAGTGGCTTTTACCCACTATGCCACAGTGCCGGCCCCTTCTTGCTCCACTTCTGATCCAGCTATTAACGCACCTTGTAAGGCATTAGAAGACGACCCCAGCGCTTGGGTCCCTACTACCCATGTGGGAGACCAAGATGAAGCTCCCGGCTTGGGCTTGGCTCCGCCCCTGCTGTTATTTGGGGAAAGAACCAGCAAGTGGTTCTGTCCCTCCCTCTCTCTAGCTGCCGTTCAAATAAATAAATCATTTTTTAAAGATTTATTTATTTTATTTGAAAGAGTGACACAGAGAGAGAGGCAGAGAGAGAGAGAGAAAGGTCTTCCATCCTCTGGTTCACTCCCCAATTGGCCACAATGGCCGGAGCTGTGCCAATCCAAAGCCAGGGAGCCAGGAGCTCCTTCCAGGTCTCCCACACAGGTGCCGGGGCCTAAGGACTTGGGCCATCTTGTACTGCTTTCCCAGGCCATAGCAGAGAGCTGGATCCGTAGTGGAGCAGCCAGGTCTCAAACCGGCGCCCATATGGGATGCTGGCGCTTCAAGCCAGGGCGTTAACCCGCTGAGCCACAGCACCAGCCCCAAATAAATCATTTTTCAAAAACAGTTTTAAAATCCATGGGCTGGCACCATGGCTCACTTGGTTAATCCTCCACTTGCGGTGCCGGCATCCCATATGGGCGCCAGATTCTGTCCCGGTTGCTCCTCTCCAGGCCAGCTCTTTACTGTGGCCCGGGAAGGCAGTGAGGGATGGCCTAAGTGCTTGGGCCCTTGCACCCGCGTGGGAAACCAGGGGGAGGCACCTGGCTCCTGGCTTCGGATCAGCACAGTGCCGGCGGTAGCGGCCATTTGGGGAGTGAACCAACGGAGGGAAGACCTTTCTCTCTGTCTCTCTCTCACAGTCTATAACTCTACCTGTCCAAAAAAAAAAATAAAAAAATAAAAGTTTTAAAATCTAGAGTGTCCTGTTAGGAGCCAGGTGGCATCTCCACAAAGGACTTGAGTTTGCCTGTAAGTGAATTCTCTCCTCCTGTGGCTCCTCTTCCCTGGTCCGGGGTTCAGTTCCAGGGCCACGAGGTTCTGCTAAGGCCAGGTCGTTTCTGTCTTGCAGGTAAAACATGGCCACTCCAAGCTCGTCTGGTGCGCTCTTGTCGGGAAGACCTTCTACTACTATCGGAGCCACGAAGACAAGGTAGCCCCTCGGCCTCCCACCAGCACCTAGTCTCCTGCTTGCCCCAAACCACTGGGCTGCTCATCCTGATGGAGACGGCCGGCCTCACCCTGACCCAGTCCCACCCCACAGCAGGCACAGAAGCGAGCCTTCTGGACACCTCCCCTCCCCCGTCTGCATGGCCCACGTGTGTGGCCTGACCCAGTGCCGCGGTCACGGTCCCCAGCCCTACAGAGCCAAAAGAGACTTCCCCATCCCGCGCCAGCTCTCTGTTCACGGAAGGCTGTGTCCACAGCGACCCCTGGGCCGTCTGCCCGTGCGGGATGCGCGCATCGAGGAAGTGGATCGCTCGTGTGACTCAGATGAGGACTACGAGGCTGGAGGAACTGGCCGGCTGCTGTCTTCCCACTGCACGCTGGTGATCCACCCCCCAGAGCACAGCCCCACCTACCTCCTCATAGGCACCAAGCATGAAAAGGTGAGAGGGGCTGGGCCTCCACGGCCAGGCTTGGCCTGTGGTTCTCATCTTCCTTCTCTGACTCCCGAGCCCCCTAGAATTTGAGTTTATTTGCCCCTGTGACACTTGGGCAGTTGATATTATTATTTGAATGGAATGTTCCTTTATACTGAGTTCTCTGCATTGAGTAGCGTCTCTTCCCTGGGGCCATGAGAAAGAACCACAGACTTGGAAGCTTGGGTTTATGTTCCCTGGAGACCGATGGCCTTGACTTGTGCCCCACCCTGGGAGGCCTCCCTGGAGCCCTTGCCTGCGCTCTTCCCGCCCTGTCCCCATCCTGTGGTTCCCTCCCTCTTCCAGGACACGTGGCTTTACCACCTCACGGTAGCTGCAGGAGGCAGCAGTGCCAAGGTGGGCACTGCCTATGAACAGCTCATTGGGAAACTGATGGATGGTGAGGGGGACCCAGGTAAGGTGAGGGTGGCCATCCCTGCTGGGGGTGGAGGAGGGTGGCTGTGTGCTTGCTGCTTCAGCAACCAAACAAGGCACTGTTGTATCCTGAAGCTGCTTGAACAACATCTGAGCTGCAGAAGGAAGCTCGCCTCCCAGGCTCCAGGGCCCTCTGTCTGTGGCCAGCACACGGAGGTCACCCTGCATGAGGCGGGCGGGTTTGACCTGGGAAGCAGATTCTCCAGTGACCTGGGTAAATGTTTTACTTTGTTCAGCCAGCAGCTTCGCCGACTGGGCGGAGGGTTGAGCAAAGAAGGTAGCTGGTTAATCTGCAGTTCGAGTTTGTTAATCAATAAATGAAGCATACATTGGGATCAAGCTAACCTGGGCCTGGGATGTTTGGGCTCTTTATTCTACTGCTGATGTCTTGGGGCCCTGAGGAGCTAACCCAAGGCCCATGCCCACATGCTCCCCACTGCTGCTCCCGGGCCTGTTGGCTCCAGGCAGAGCTCGCTCTGCTCCAGGCAGACGTGGTGCTGTGAGAAAGCGGCTGACCCTGCACACACATGCGTGCACAGACACTTGTGCCACACACACACCCCCCCCACTGCAGCTCTCTGTGCAAAGCAGTGGCTGCCTTCCTGTGAGCCATGCCAGCAGTGGCTGCCTTCCTGTGAGCCATGCCGTGTGTGTGTGTGCGTGCTCACTGCAGTGCCCACTGCGTAGCCATCCGCCAAGGATGACAAGCCAGCACAACCCAGCTGTCCCAGCCTCCCCCATGGTGTGAAGTGGGGGCGGGGGACGGGGTGGCCGCGGGCTCGCTCCTCGGCAGTAACTGCGCCTGGCTTTGGCAGACTCCCCACTCTGGAGGCATCCCACGCTGTGCTACACCAGACAAGGGCTGGCCGCCTCCCTCACCACCCTGCCCTCCGAGGCCCTGCAGACCGAGGCCCTCAAGCTCTTCAAGGTAAAGTGGGAGAGTGGCCCACGCCCCCCGGCTGGCAGCAGCCTCGCTGTGTATCCTGACTCTGCCTGCAGGGGCCGAGGGTGCCCCAGTGAGACTCGGGTGGAGGAGACGCACGCAGTGAGGGGCAGCCCACAGCGGGCTCTGGAGAGGGTGGGAAGGAGAGTCCCGCAGGGAGCCTCGAGTGTCGTCCTCCCGCTGGCGGGTGTGGGGCACCTCTGTCTGGGAGCTCCCCTCCTCCCTGGGTAACAGCAGGGGAGGCCAGGTCCGTGTTGCTCTGGACACAGAAATTCTGACCTATTTCAGAATGTTCTTTGTACCCATCTGAATTTTCTATTTTTTATTTAAAAAAATTTGCTTATGGCCAGCGTCATGGCTCAATAGGCTAATTCTCCGCCTTGTGGTGCCGGCACACCAGGTTCTAGTCCCGGTCGGGGCGCCGGATTCTGTCCCGGTTGCCCCTCTTCCAGGCCAGCTCTCTGCTGTGGCCCAGGAGGGCAGTGGAGGATGGCCCAAGTGCTTGGGCCCTGCACCCGCATGGGAGACCAGGATAAGTACCTGGCTCCTGCCTTCAGATCAGCGTGCTGGCCGTGGCGGCCACTGGGGGGTGAACCAATGGAAAAAGGAAGACCTTTCTCTCTGTCTCTCTCACTGTCCACTCTGCCTGTCCAAAAAAAAATTTTTTTGCTTATGTAAGCATGCTTATGTCTTGCTTATGTAATGGAACCATTTAAAGAAGGGAAGAGTCTATCCCAAAGGGGCCATTTGCAGCAAGCACAGGTGCTCCCCAGCACGAAGAGTGCTGGCTCTCTGAGGGGGCTGTCTGCCCGTGAACTTGAGTCCCAGGGTAACGGCCTCCTCTGTCCACCCCTCTCGGAGCAAGAGACCCCATTCCTCTGTGAGGACAACAGCAAGGGGTGTGGGGCTGCCCATGCCCACTGGTGCCCTCCTGCCAGTCTTGCCAGCTCTTCATCAACGTGCCCGTGGAAGCTGCCTCGGTGGACTACCACGTGTCCCTGGCCCAGACGGCGCTGCAGGTGTGCCTCGTTCACCCCGAGCTTCAGAGCGAGATCTACTGCCAGCTCATGAAGCAGACCAGCTGCCGCCCCCCTCAGAAGTACTCCCGCATGCAGGTGCGCATCCCCCGGGCACGACAGTGGCAAGGGCTGCCCGGGAGGCGCCTGGGCTGTGGTGCTCTGAGCCTCGCCAGTGGGCAGCCTCTGTGTCCCGGGCTGCCCCAGTGCACAGTGAGAATGTGCATTTTCCATCCTGGAGAAGCCTGACCGAGGTGGCCTTCCCAGAACCCATGAGAGTCGGGTGGAAGGCTGGGGGCACGCGGAACTGATGCTCACCCCCGCTTCATGCCCTGGCAGTGCTGGCAGCTCCTGGCTCTGTGTGCCCCCCTCTTCCTGCCTCAGCATCACTTCCTGTGGTACGTCAAGCAGCAGCTGCAGCGCCACGCAGACCCCCGGTGAGTGAGCACCGTTCCCCTGCCGCGCCCGCACTACAGCAGGGACGGGGCGGGGCCGGCCTGTGGCACAGCGGGCTCGGCTGCCACCTGCAACGCTGGGGTCCCCCATCAGTGCACCAGTCTCGGTCCCAGCTGCCTCGCTTCCAATCCAGCTTCCTGCTAGGGCATCTGGAAAGGCAATAGAAGGTGACCCAAGTATTGGGCCCCTGCTGCCCACCTGGGAGACGAGGGTGGAGTTTCTGGCTTCAGCGTGGCCCAGCCTTGTGGCCATCTGGGGAGTGAACTAGTAGGTGGAAGAACTCTGTCTTTCTGTCTCCATCTGACTTTCAAGTAAATAACTAAACCACTGGAGAACAAAGAGGGGCCAGGGAGACCAGCACAGAGCAGACGTCTGCTCGGGGTGCAGAGATTTCCCCCAGTGGTGTGCACGGTAGGGCACGTGGAGATGGGGCATGCCTACCATGTGTCCATGGGTGTTTTGTGGGCCCCTCGGGTGAAGCCACGTTGTCCCAGAGTATCCCCAAATATTCGTTCTGTTGCCATGTTCTGGCTTCTGGAAGAAAATGATCCAGGTCAGCAAGCTGCCGCATACGGGTCCTGCGTGGCCAGTTAACACCCGCGGAGCAGAGTCTTCGGGCTTTGCTCACAGCCTGTCCCAGCTAGTTTTCTTCTAGCTAAGTCTGGGTGGAGACCTCAGTGCCTTGGTAGAGACTCCAACATACCCCTCTTCCCGCCCTGTGTCTTCAGGAGTGAAACTGGCCAGTATGCCACCTACTGCCAGCGGGCAGTGGAGCGGACCCTGCAGACCGGGGAGCGAGAGGCCAGGCCGTCGCGCATGGAGGTGGTGTCCATCCTGCTGCGGAACCCCTTCCACCACTCCCTGCCCTTCAGTATCCCCGTGCACCTGGCCAACGGGACTTACCAGGTGAGGGCCGGGTGCACCCCCGCCCCACGCCCTCACCTGTCACTGTGCCAGAGGAATTTCTAGGCCTCGTGGGTGCTGCGCCCCCTTAGAAGTGATGGGTTCTTCACAGGCAAACCAGCAAAAGCGACGGGCCTGGGTTCTGGGCCGGGGAACGGGGTGGTTGGAAGAAGAGAGCTTGACGCAAGCGTGTCGCTGCTGGGTGCCCTGGAAGTGGCTCTTTAGAACCCACTGCGTGAACAGGAAAGCAGTGACAGTGACCATGGCAGGGCCCCCGCAGACTGACCGCAAAGGAGGAACCAAGCCTAAGTCCGATCCAGGGCGGGCAGGCTCAGGCTCCTTGCGTGCTGGCCCTCGGCGTGAGCGTCCGGAAACCAGCTTGCTTCGTCCTCTCCCAGTCGCCTCCGCTCCTGCCTGAGCTCAGGGCCCCCCACGGCCCTGTGGGCTCCTCAGGAAGCCGGCCTGGGTCAGAACGTCTGTCTCCCCGCCAGGTGGTCGGCTTCGACGGCTCCTCCACCGTGGACGAGTTCCTGCAGCGGCTGAACCAGGAGATGGGCATGCGGAGGCCGTCGCACTCTGGCTTCGCCCTCTTCACGGACGATCCTTCCGGCAGGGACCTGGAGCACTGCCTGCAGGGGAGTGTCAAGGTGACGGCCTCCCCGCCGGGCGCAGAGAGCCACATGGCGGGTGGGGACAGAGCCCGACGGGCAGGCGCCCGGCTGTGCAGCATCCCGTGTGGCACTGAGCCCAAGGTGCTCCCTGGGCCAGGACTTCTGTGCCGTCCGAAGCTGCTGTGTGCTCTCGGCTTAGGAGACGAGCTCTCCGTGGCCCTGCCTCCCCCGAATGGCTCTGTAGCTCCCAGGGCAAAAGTAAGCCCCTTTCAGCTCCAAGTATGGACAGGCAGACCCCACCGAGCCTGCCGCCCGTCACGTCCGCCTGCTCCCCAGCGGAAACTATAAGCCTAGACCCACAGGCGTGGCACTGTACGCGGCCCCTCCCCTCTGCCCTGCAAGGCCCGTGCTTACAGATGCAGTTTAAGGAGGTGGGTCTTTCTGGTTCTCCAAATGTAAAGGCCTTGACCAGGATGTAAGGCTGATGTGGGAGCTGGTGCCGTGGAGGGTGCCGAGTGTTGGTGGGGAGGTTCTGGCGGGTGTATTTGCATCATCTGCCTTCTTTCCTGCAATGGGACAAAGCCGCCTTCTATAGTCTTCCTTGCCTGGAAAAACCACGCCCCTTGTCTTCTGCGTGCCGGGGGCATCTGTCAGGCTCTGCTGCATGGCAGCCCGTATGTGCGTCTGCTGAAGCAGAAACTGGCGGTCAGCGGGATGGAAACAGCCCCGCGAGCGGCCGTGGTTCCTGGCTGGGGCTGCCCCCCTCGCCAGTGGCAGCCGCCTTCCTTGCTTTGCTGCTCCCCTGCCCAGGGCTCCCGCCCCCTGTCTGTCTGCAGGCACCCAGGTGGGATCCTGGAAGCCTGAGGCTCTGTCAGGAAGCGCACAGGCCAGCCCTGCTCTCCCACTCGCTCCTCTCACGAGGAACTTTTCCTTTGCCTCTCCAAGATCTGCGACGCCATCTCCAAGTGGGAACAAGCGCTGAAGGAGCTGCACCCCGGAAAGACGGAGGGGGGAACGCGTGTGGTGAAGCTGATGTACAAGAACAGGTCCTGAGCACTCGGGGGGGGAGGGCAGGCATGGGAGGCTGCTTCTAGGTGCAGTCCACCTGCCTGGATGGACGGTCTCCCCTGCGGGCTGAGGGGCCCACAGATACCTGCTGCACGCTGGTCACAGGAGGGGCCCAGGCTGGCCCTGCTCCTGAGCCCCGCGCACTCCTGGGCAGCTCGGACCTCGTCTGACTTCCGTGTGCTCTGCATGGCCGCACCCATGCACATGTGCACACACCTGCCAAGGAGACACGCTGTGTGTTACCTTGGGAACACACGAACCGCGCGTGCCACCTTATGAGAAGGAAACCGGGAATGAGCACCAGATACTTATGGCTGAGTCAACAGCTCAGATTCCAGGGAAAAATGAGAGGTCTTCAAGAGTTTATGGAAAAGTGTGTATTATAAAAAAAAAAAAAAAAAAAAAACACCTTTCCATTTTCCACAAGCTTTTTGAAGTACCCTGGTAGGAAGTAGACACCTTGACTTTCTATCCATTAGGACAGAAAATTCCATCCCGGTGTATCTAGGCAAGCAGTGTCCATTCGTCTTGGATCTGCACGCCTGCAGTGCCCTGATGGGCTGATCCAAGCACCCGCTTCCCCGCAGCAGATGGGGCAGTCCCGTGGTGTGCGCAGAATCAGCCCGGGAGCTTCGCGGCCCGTGTCGCTGTCACCCTGTTTCCCAGCAGGAGCGGCAGGAAACAGGCTCTCGCGCATGATCCGATTGCTGCTTGTGTACATCGGGAAGCAGAGGCCTCATCCGGGTTCGTGTCCCGTGGGGGTCCTCACCGCCCCGCTCCTCCCTGCAGGCTGTACTTTCGGAGTCAGGTCAAGGGGGAGACGGAACGAGAGCGGCTGCTGCTCGCCTCCCAGACCAGCGGCGAGATCGTGGCCGGGAGGTTTCCTGTCAACAAGGAATTGGCTCTGGAGATGGCTGCCCTGATGGCCCAGGTGAGGAGGCTGGAGGTCAGGACCGCCTCTGGGGACTGAGTCCCTGTGGGGAGTGCGCCTCCCAGGCTCAGACGGGCGGTTCTGCAGAACCCACGGTGCCCAGGAGAGGGCGGTGTTGCTCCTTAACCCTGCGGGGCTCCTCACCCACTGCAGACAGTGCACACCACACGGAGTGCTGAACCTTGAATCCAAGCGCGCAGTTTGTGCTAGCCACCTTCTGCTGCGAGAGCTTAGCCACACACCTTAGGAAGCTCTGCATACTGAAAACAGACTTCCCTGCCCGCCCACAGGGTTGTCCTAAGTATGATAGTTGGGTAGTGTGTCGCATGTCTCTGTTAAGCTGTATAAACCACCCAGCATCACACGTGGAATTAGGAAGGGGCACACACATGCAGCCTGTGCCGCACCATCTGTTGCCCCTGGGAGGCCATGTTGTCACAGGTACCTTCGAAGTGCCTCTATGGGAGTCTGGATCGGCGTGCTGCAGCCAGGGAGCTAACAGTAGGCCTTCTCCCGTACAAACACCGATACGCATCACCTGTCGCAGCCCCGTGCTAAGAAGCCGTGTCATCCAGGCACTTCTCATCCCCAGCTGACAGACAGGGACACCGACACTCGGAGTTTAACTCCGTCAGGAGCACAGAGCTGGGATTTGAGCCACGGGTTTGCCTCCAAAGGCCACGCTGGGAACACTGCTGTCCACCAGGATCGCCAGCATCCTTCCTCCTGGGCCCCTGTTTTGGGGTTACAACCCAGGATCACCAGTGTCTCCCTCACCTGTCACTGTCTTTGGATGAGGCCCTTGACCTCAGCTGTGACGGGCAGGTTGGTCTAGACAATCCCTGGTACCCCAGGCCTGGCCAGTTGTCTGGTGTCTGTGAAACCTGAGGTAAGGGGTCTCTTCACAAGCGTTTCCCATGTCCATTCGAAGCCCACCAATGAGGTGGCTTATTGCAGACCACCGGCACCGTCCACTGGTGACTCCTGACCGCTCTCCTCGTTGCTTCTGCCGCAGGTGGAGTATGGAGACCTGGAGAAGCCCGTCCTGCTGGGTCCCGGGGGCACACCCCCGGGCAAAGCTCAGCATCTCCTCCAGCAAGTCCTGGACAGGTTCTACCCACGGCGCTACAGACATGGGGCCCCCCCTGAACAGCTCAGGTAGGGGGACTGCAGGGCCTTTTGGGGAGGCCTCAGACCTGCCGTGGACACACGCAGGCCCTCCACTGGCACCTTTCTCTCCACCTGCCCACACCAGGCACCTGGCAGATACGCTGACCACAAAGTGGGCAGCCTTGCAAGGCTGTTCCGCTCCTGAGTGCATCCGCATCTACCTGACTGTGGCCCGGAAATGGCCTTTCTTTGGTGCTAAGCTCTTTGCTGCTCAGGTAAGTGCCTGTGGGAGAGGGGCTCACATCCCCCACCCCATGCCCAGTTTGTCAACACTGTAGCTCCTGGCTTCACCACAGTAACCACAAGGGGTCGCTGTCCCCGCTGTGTCTGACCCGTTTTCCTCAGTCAGTCTGTAGCTCCCGCCTCCACCACAGCAACCACCAGGGGTCGCTGCCCTACTGTGTCTGACCTCCAGATGTCCATGGTGCAGAGCAGAGTCGTGATTCATTGCTCATATTGACTTCTGTTAGCCCTGAAAGGAGAAGTAGGAACAACTAACTAATTTACACACAAAGATCCAGCCTTATACATTCCTCTCAAGATTAGTGCTTTAGGCCGGCGCCGCGGCTCAATAGGCTAATCCTCTGCCTGCGGCGCCGGCACACTGGGTTCTAGTCCCGGTCGGGGCGCCAGATTCTGTCCTGGTTGCTCCTCTTCCAGGCCAGCTCTCTGCTGTGGCCCAGGAGTGCAGTGGAGGATGGCCCAAGTGCTTGGGCCCTGCACCCCATGGGAGACCAGGAGGAAGCACCTGGCTTCTGGCTTCGGATCGGCGCAGTGCGCCAGCCGTAGTGGCCATTTCAGGGGTGAACAAATGGAAGGAAAACCTTTCTCTCTCTAACTCTGCCTGTCAAAAAAAAGATTAGTGCTTTATTTATTTTTAAAGATAGAACAATGTATAACCTAAATGTGAGCACATTTCCACAGTGTTGGGGAAAAGTTCATTTCACTTCTGCATGAAGGCCACGTGGCAAGTGCTCATGTGAGCTGGAACTTTTCCTTATGGGCATGTGGAGTGCATGCACTTTATAACCACAGGCGTCATCCTGTGCTCAAGCAGGATCAGGACCTGTTCTACTGAAGCGACAGATCAGAAAATGGACATTCTCTCATACACCCAAAAAATGGTGGTTAGGCTCCTATTGTCTGGTGGTAGCTGAGGTTATAATGGGTGAGTGGTTCGATCCTTGCCTTCTGGAAGCTTCCCATCAGGTTGGGGAGATAGAGGTTGGGGAGAGTGCTTCAGAAAGTTCATGGAAGGAGCTGGTGCTGTGGTGCAGCGGTTCAAGTCCCAGCTGCTCCACTCTGGTCTTCCCACTGCTGCACATGGGAAGGCAGCAGAAGATGGCCCAAGTCCTTGGGCCCCTGCACCTGTGTGGGAGACCTGGAAGAAACTCCTGGCTCCAGCTGTTGTGGCCAATTGGGGAGTGAACCAAAGGATGGAAGATATTCTCTCTGTCTCTCTTTCCCCCTCTCTCTCTCCCTCTCTCTTTCCCTCTGCCTTTCCTCTCTCTATGTAACTCTTTCAAATAAAGAAATAAATCTTTAAAAAAAAAAAAAGTTCATGGAAAAGTTGGGCATTTGGCCTAGTTAAGATGCCTGTGTCCCATATCAGTCCTTGGGCTTGACACCTGCCCCAGCCCCTGACTCCAGCTTCCTGCTAATACAGACCTTGGGAAGCAGCAATGGTGCAGGCAGTTGGGTTTCTGCCATCCACGTGGGACTGAGTTTCCAGCTCTTAGCCTTGGCCAGACCCAGTAGATATGGGTCTTTGGGAGTGGGAGTTCTAATAAATATATAAAACTTTGGAATGTTCATGAAAAATATAATTAAAAGTGTTTATTTTGGTGGAAAAAATTTTTGAAACCCATTTGTAGTTTTTTTTTTTTTTAATAAAGATTTACTTGTTTATCTGAAAGGCAGTGTTACAGAGAGAAAGAGGAAAATCTTCCATCCACTGGCTCACTCCCTAGATGGCCACAATGGCTGGGACTGGACCAGGAGGAAGCCAGGAGCCTCAGGAGCTTCTGCTGTGCTTCCCACGTGGGTAGCAGGGGCCCAAGCATTTGGGACAACCTCTGTTCCTTTTTCCAGGCCATTAAGGGGGAGCTGGATTGGAAGTGGAACAGCCAGGATTTGGACTGGTGCCCATATGGGATGCCAGCGGCACAGGGCATCACAGGCAGTAGCAGCTTTACCCACTGTGCCACAACACTGGCCCCCGTTTATAGTTTCTTCATAATACATATTTCCATGGATTTTTTTAAGAAGGACCACTTAAGTCATATATAGGTGGGCAGTGAAAGGCAGATTTAGAGATCTTCCATCTGCTGGTTCACTCTCCAAATGGCTGCAGTGGCCAAGGCTGGGCCAGGCCAAAGCCAGAAGCCTGGAACTCCATCTGGGTCTGCAGTGTGGGTAACAGGGGCCCAAGCACCTTGGCCATCCTCTGCTGCTTTCCCAGCTGCATTAGCAGGGAGCTGGATTGGAAGTGGAACAGTTGGGACTTGAACCGGCGCTCATGGGATGCTCATGGGATGCAGGCAGTGGCTTAACCCACTGTGCCACATTGCAGCCCCTCCATGAATTTTTTGAAGACCCCCTCATATACATGGATTTCAAAAAAAAAATTTGTACCAACATAAACATCTTTTAATTGCACTTGACACGCATTTTAAAGTACCTTCATGCATGTTCTGCCCCGCCTTCCCTTCTTATAGAAATTGTTTTATAAGCTGTCACAGGCAATGCAGGGACAGTACAGGGGTATTATAAAGACATGTAACTGGTCTCACTTGGTCTGGGTGTTGGGAAAAGCTTCTAGAATAGGTAATGTGTCCGTCTCTCTCCCCAGCCTTTTGAATAGGAAAAAGACGTGGATTCTCCTACTGCAACCATAGCAGAGAAAATTAGTTACTGCAGGGAATGCCTGCCCTGTCGTCCCTGTCTCACTGCTGGGACCCAAAGTCCTTAAGTGTGCATTCTTGCTTTCCCATGTAGTCTCTAGGAAATTGGCTGTAACAAGATGTACATCAGCCAGGAGAAGCCGTGGGTGGAATTCAGCCCAGAGCAGTCAGCCTGTTCCTCATGCCCGCAGCAGCAGCCGGGCTGGCCTCTGTTCTGAGCTCCCGGTCCAGCTTCTGTGGCAGGATGGGTGCTGGGTACACCGAGGCTGAGCCCCCCGACCCCTGGGGTGGATGATAGGTGGCCAGAGCCCCCAGGCCGAGTGCTCCTGCCACAAGCAGCCTTGTGTATTTCCAATGCTGTACAAATGTCATTGTGTTCCCCAAGATGAGGGCTCGCTGCCTCAGGTCCCTGCACACGCCTTCTTCCTCAGAAAGCTCTTCAGAGCTCAGGATCTCTCGGCATGACTGGTGGCGTTTTCTGTTTCCCCAGCCTGCCCAGCTGTCTTCCAAGGAGGAGAGCCCTCTGGTCTGGATCGCTGTGAACGAGGACGGCGTCAGCATCCTGGACCACAGCACCATGGTAAGGACGGGTGGCTGGCCGCCTCTGCCCCTGCACCTGAGCACTGCCCACTCTCTGGACTCCAAGGGCCCTACCCCAGCCCGCCCAAGCCCTGCTGCCCTCCCTCTGGACAAGCTCCTCGACCTGCAACACGCAGACCTCCGAGTGAGGACCACTGTGGGTTCTCCCTCCTGGTTGAGGGTGCCTGTGCCTAGAAGAGACGGTGCTGGCTCCTTGCTAGGAGACAGGTGGGAAACTGCCCCGAACTCACTGGCTCCTCTCCACAGCAAGTGCACGTCACTTACCCCTACACTGCAGTGACAACCTTTGGTGGCTGCAAGGATGACTTCATGCTTGTGATTAGATCCATTCCAGACCAGAGCTCTGGGAAAGGTCACATTGAGAAGTTGACCTTCCGGATGGCTGCTCCCAAGGTGGGTCTGCCGGCTGCTTAACCATTTTACTCTGCTCGGGGGTGGTGGGTGGGGCTTTGGATGGTGCTGACAAGGGCCCTGCCCCCCTCGTTTGTGGCCTTGTCTGTAACCAGTACTCCAGAGGGCTCAGGCAGAGTTCCCTCTGTGTCACCGCTGAGCTGGTAGGGAGAGGGGCGAGTGGGGAGGAGGTAACTGGTGCAGATACTGCACCGTCTTTCCTTTGTTTCTGAATTCAAGCCCCTGCACGTGCAGACCCGAGCTTGGCGCCCACTTGCTCTCCTCCTTGCAGCAGGCCCAGGGCAGGGTAGCTTCCTCTTCAAGGTGCCTGGGTTCTGCTGCGCCAGCACTGGCCAGACGGGCTCCACACTGTCCCTTTCTTTGTGGCCCCAAAGACAGCAAAATGGCCTTTGCTTTTAGGGCTCTGTACAGGAAATGGTGACCAGCAAAATAACAAAGCTCAGAAACCGAAGTTCTGATTTCTTGTTCTCTTCTGAGAGTAACTAGAAACTTGTTCTCCACTTTTATTAACTTGTTTTTGTAACCATTTAAAAATTTTCTGTTTATGAATTTTATGTAAAAGGCAGAGACAGCATTCTGCCATCGACTGGTTCATCCCCCAAATACCTGCAACAGGTGGGGAAAAGCCACACTGAAGCCAGCATCCCAGAACTTCTGTACGGGTGGCAGGGAGCCAACTACCTGAGCCCACACATTAGCAAGAAGCTGGAATCTGGGGCGAGCCAGGGCTTGAGTCATGCCGTGGGATGCAGGAACCCCACCCCGTGTCTCCACTGCTCTGCCAACACCTGTCCCCATGCTCCACTTCATCTGGAGAGAGGAAGCTGGTTCATTCCCTGGATGCTGCAATGGATGGGGCTGGGCCAGGTTGGAGCCATGCATCTGGAACTCTATGTGGGTCTCCCACATGCACACTCGGGCCACCTTCTGCATTAGCAGAGAGCTGGATCACTGGTGTCCTGATGTGGGGTACCAGTGTCGCAAGTGGCAGCTTAACCCATTGCACCACACCACCCCCCTCTCTACTTTTAATTCTGAAGTTTGTCAGACCTCCTCCCTGTAGTGCCCCCTTCGCCAGAGGCAAGGCTGTGCAGATCTCTTCCCCAGGAAGGCCCCTGCCTTGCTGTGAGGGAATGTGGTTCTCTTTACCTGAGGAGGGCTCTGTGTAGCTCGGAGGGCCTCCAAACAGGTGTCCAGTTCACTGGGCCTCTGTACCTCACAGGAACGGTCCCTTTGGGCTTTGTTCTTGGTTGGCTATTTTAGACAGGAAGATTATGCACCTTGTAAGTGAAAGCCCAAATTCGAGCCCAGGTTGGTTTACCTCCTTCGTTCTGCTCTCTCCTTAGATTGCAGAAGCTACCTTCATCATGGCCAGCTACATGAACCATCACTCTACAACTGTGTGCCCCCCCACAGATCCCCCTGCTGTCCACCAGCCCTGGGACCTGGATGGACGACAGCTCTTTGCCTCTGTTCCCTGCGCCACCAAGGGGCCAACGTTGCTGTGACTGTTTCTCCTGCCTCCTCCCCACCACCACTGGTGCCTCTGGAATTGGAGATGTGTGTCCTGGGGTGCGATACTACTGTGATGGGTCTCACGCCCGGCCTCACTTTGTTCTGTGACCCGTGTATCTCGTGTCTGAGAAGCCTTTACTCTAGGTGCCTTACTTGTCTCAGAGCCCAGCTTTTAAAAATGCAGACGCAGTGTAAGAACCAGTTAACCTTTTATTCCCCACGAGAATACTAACTCTGTATGCTGCCTGAATAGAGACCTCGACAGGCCGGTGCACCGTTAGCCAGGCCTCAGTGCCGACGTCAGGGCAGCTGGTATTTCTCATGCAGGTGGTCGTTACGTAGGGGTTTATACTTGAAGTTTTCTCAACATCCCTGAACAGAACAGGACTAAAACTCTGATTTACCTGAACTGACAAAAGCCTGGAACTCACTAAAACTGGACTTTCTTTCCCACGTGGGAAAGGGCTAGCAGGGGTGGAAAGAAAAGCACTCCCTCTCCCCCTTTCCTGGAGTACAGGCCGCACTACTCCATTCAGAGGGAAGCGCCTCTCCCTGGCCCCGCACTGTCCCCAGTGCCACACGGCCAGAGCGAGGGCAGGGGCCGGCAAGCCTGGCCTCATTTAACAGCTGCACCAGGCTCAGTGCTGCAGGATGAGGTGGTCAGTTTCCTGCCCTTCTTTTGCTGCTCTGTGAGGCTACTGGACACACAGACTCACTGCGCTCAGGGGCCTCGAGACTTCCGGTGAACTTGCACTGGGAATTAGTTTCCGGGCAAGGGCGTGTGCGTGTGCGTGGTACCTGCACATGAGCATCAGGTGAGGAAGCCAAGTTGCTTTCACCTTTTCCCTTCCTTTTTTTTTTTTTGACAGAGTGGACAGAGAGAGAGACAGAGAGAAAGGTCTTCCTTTGCCGTTGGTTCACCCTCCAATAGACGCCACGGCTGGCGCGCTGCGGCCGGCGCACCGCGCTGATCCGATGGCAGGAGCCAGGTGCCTCTCCTGGTCTCCCATGGGGTGCAGGGCCCAAGCACTTGGGCCATCCTCCACTGCACTCCCTGGCCACAGCAGAGAGCTGGCCTGGAAGAGGGGCAACCGGGACAGAATCCGGCGCCCCGACCGGGACTAGAACCTGGTGTGCTGGTGCTGCAAGGCGGAGGATTAGCCTCTTGAGCCGCAGCGCCGGCTAACCTTTTCCCTTCCTGACTACACTGTGACCTGAGTGCAGAGGAGATAGTCTTTGTTTACACCCTCCCTGACAGAAGAAAAGAAAACGAGAGTTCATGCTCAGATTTTCCAGCATCGGAGAAACAGTTTTGTTTCCAAGCCCTAAGACAGCCTTAGCACTTGTCAGTATGGTGTTGGAAACTGTATAGGTTTGGCAGTAGCACCCAAGATCCACGCCTTTAGCCCCAGCAGTGTGTGTGTGTGTGTGTGTGTGTGTGTGTGTGTGTGTGTGTGTCTGTGACACTGGCTGGAAGTTGCTTCCGTGAACGCCTCCGCTGCTCAAAGCTCCCTTCTCACCCACACACTGACCAGGCAGATGGAAAAAGAAACGCGCCACTCTGACTCTTGTACATGACCCTGACTTTGCAAGACAGTTGGTTTTAAGGCCATCTTTGTTCCCATCTTCCCCTCTCAGGATTTGGGGATCTAGCTGGACATCTCTACCTCGCACAAGGCACATGTTCCACTGGCTCCCAGATAACCCCCTCCCCCAAAGCCAGATAAAAGGCGACGGTTCTGATTTTATAGTATCTTGAGTGTCTCTTAGGCCAGTAAGGATAATGTTGTATACCCATGGAGTTTCAAAACCAGGTTTCCAAAGACGGGGCAAACATAAATGAGGCAGTGCTCATACTGAACTTGGGGGTCAAACTATTTCTCCCACCCTCTGCTTACCGCCCTTCAGGAGACACTGCCTTGGAAACAGAGGCTTCGACTGTTTGCTTATTTATCCAACTTTGACGCAAGGATTCCACGTCTGGAAACCAGAGTCGCATTTCCGTCTTGCCTTTGTCTCACCTCTCTTGGCAAAAGCAGCTTTCACAATGGTAAAAAAAGCTGAGTAACAGAAAAGTATTAATGTGCTTGACACCCATGACTGAAATGCCAGGATCATGTCTGTCAATAAAAAGCAGCTGTCTGTGACCCAGGCGATTGTGAATGTTTTGAACAAAGCTGTTTATTAAGAAAATCACGAGATAACTCGGCCCTGAACACAGGAGCCAGGTGACAGAGGTTCCTGTTGGAGGACATTGCTTCCTGCTCCCCCATGCCCGAGGGTCTTGGCTTTTTCCCCCTTAACTTCATACAGGGACTGTTATGAAACTAGAAACTATACCTCTCTCAAGAGATCTGATGTCAGCTTCCCGTTGTCTTCACAAATCTCAACACAAAGTAAGACTGAATGTGCTTAGGAATTTCACAAAGTGTTCTTTCCTGGAACTGCTTTTGCCATAGCACGTTGGAGTTAAGATCTCCCCTGAGCTGGTAAAGCAGGCAGCGCCTCACCAGGGGAGCACTACGAAACACAGATACCCGAGCGGAGTTTGCAGTCACTTGCTCTACAGCGAGCGATCCACTGCATCCACACTGTTTCCGTGGGCTGTGTCCACTTGATGCTTTGAGGACAGAAAACACAGTAGCCGACCTGGCTTAGGAGTCTGCCCGTGGAAGACAAAGTGGCCTTCTCAATGCTGGGACTCACGGGCCTGTGGCTGTGGCTTTCTGGTGTGCCAGGATCTCCTGGCAGCTCCTGTACACCTCAATCAAGCAGTCGAGCCGAGGTTTGGCGCTCTGAAATCCAAGGGGAGAAATGCACAGTGAAAATGGCCCTGCATGCCAAGCGGTGGCCACCTGAGTGCTGACCGGTGTCCTCTGCCCTTCAGCCAGCACAGTGTCAGCTCAGAGACAGGAGTGCAGGCCTTGGAGAGTCAGGCCAGCAGGGGTCCCAACTAGGCCCTCAGCCCTACCTGCAAACTACAGATTAAAAGACAGCTTTTTCAGCTAATGTCATGACCTCCATCTTAACAAGCAAGCAGCCATAGTAACAGGGATGGACCCTCGAGAAATGTCATAAGTTGTGAAGTAGTTCTGAGACAAGTGCAGTTTTACATGTCACTATTGAAAAATATTTTACACAGTGAAATAAAACAAAAACCACAGAATGGGAAAAACAATGTGGAGAGTGTGTGTAGTAAAAGTTTGCTGCCCAGTATACAGAAAGAATTGTTACAGGGGTACAAGGATAATACAAGTAAATGCATCATTTGAAGAGAGAAAAATTCAAGGCCAGCATCATGATGTAGCAGGTAAAGCCCATGATGCTGGTATTCCCGATGGGCACTGCTAGTTCAGGTTCCAGCTGCTCCACTTCCGATCCAGTTCCCTGCTAAGGGCTTGAGAAAGCAGAAAATGGCCCAACCACTTGGGTCCCTGCACCCTCGCGGGAGGCCCAGATGAATCTGACTTCAGCCTGGCTCGGTCCTAGTGGTTATGGCCATCTGGGAAGTGAACCAGCAGATGGAAGATGTCTCTCTCTCTTTTTTTTTTTTTTCCTGTCTCAGTCTCTGTAGCTCTTTCAAATATACAAATAAGTCTTCTAAAAAGATATAAATTTATTAACTTTACAATGCCTTTCCTACTAACTGTAAATCCAGTATTAGCCAAGACAGTAGAAAAACAAGGACATTCTTAGCAAAAGTATGCTGAAGTTGTCCAGTCTCACATGTGAAAAATTTATAAAGCTATTTGTTAGCTGTAACAAAGTAATTTTGAACCATAATGCAAAAGAATTTTTTTAGTCTTAAATCATCTGTGAGAAAGGAAGGACAATAAGGTGAGGTTAACTATAAATGCCTACTGTGATTATAATCATGTGTTTTTTAATAAAAAACTAATCTGGACATGATGTTAAAAGCCCAGTCACAGGAATGAGCACTTGGCATAGGGGTCAAGATGCCACTTGAGACATCAGCATCCTGGCTCTGCTTTCAATTCTAGCCTCCTGCTCATGTGCACCCTGGGAGGCAGCAGGTGATGGCTCAAGTACTTGGGTCCCTGCCACCCACATCGGAGACCCTGATTGAATTCTGGGCTCTTGGTCTCAGCATGACTTTTAGCCCTGGCTGTTGCAGGCATTAGGGGAATGAACCAGTGGATGGACGTGCTCTGTTTCTTCCTGCTCTTCAAGTGCAACAGATAAACCTTATGGGGGGGAAAAAGCTAGCAATAGTATAGCTAGATAAACTGATATTTTAACATAATGGAATGAAATATTATTTAAAATAGTATAATGGCCTTTGTGGAAAATATGCACATTAAATGATTTAAAAAACCACAAAATAGCATATAATTATACATGTGGAACAATAACATCAATGTAAAACTATATGTTGGTCGACAGCAAATTACTGTTTTGTTGTAGGCAGAGTTGTTATATATTTTTTCCCTAAAATGTGGATTCATAATATTTTTGAGAGCTTATATTTGCCTCAGAGAGGAACTTCTAAAATAACTAAAAATCTTAATGTGCACTAAAAATAACTGTCTGGCATCTTACATGCTCTGACCACAGAGATTTCCACCTCTACTGAAGAAAAGTCGTGGTGGAAAAGCAGAAAGAACAGGCGGAGGGTTGCACTGGGGGAAGGGAAGGGGCTCTGTGCTCACCTGGAAAACAGGCACTACTTGGGACACCCCCTGCGGCTCCACCGGGTCCTTCAGTAAAATGCAGAGGTAGTAAATCACCTTCTGCTGCAAGACAACAGACAGCTGACAGAGGTCTGGGGGAGATGCACTGGTGCCCCTTTTCTTCCACGGAAGCCTCAAAACCTCACACGCTTCTCTCGAAATAGGCCTGCACTCAATAGCTCTTGAAGTGGGGGATAAGTATATGTTCATTCTTTAGATAAAAAATGGCAAACCCACTAACTAAAAATGATTCTGAAGCTGGGCTACAAGGTACAGCTGAAATGCTGACTCCCTCCCCATGAAAATCTCTCTCTCTTAAAAACAAGAGGACTCATCTTTTCAACATAAGTTTCACTTTTCTGGTTTACTTGTTTATTTGAGAGGCTGGCCAAAAAGGAAACTGGAACAAAGAACTAGAACAGAGGGTCCCCAAGTTTAATCCTGGGACATACCCAATATTTTAGGGAGTAAGATTTAGTTTAAGGGCTGGTGCCGTGGCTCACTTTGGTTAATTCTCCACCTGCAGTACTGGCATCCCATATGGGCACTGGCTAGTCCTGGTTGTTCTTCTTCTAGTCCAGCTCTCTGCTGTGGCCTGGGAGGGAAATGGAGGATGGTCCAAGTGCTTGGGCGCCTATACCCGCATGGGAGACCAGGAAGAAGCACCTGGCTCCTGGCTTCGGATCGGCGTAGCTCCAGCCGTGGCGGCCATTTGGGGAGTGAACAGAACCAACAGAAGGAAGACCTTTCTTTCTCCCTCCCTCCCTCCCTCCCTCTCTCTCTCTCTCTCTCTCTCACTGTATAACTCTGTCAAATAAAAAAATAAAATAAAAGTTAAAAAAAAAGACTTAGTTTAGATCCAGGGTCAACCATGGGCTGGGGACGCCCGAAGGAGCCTGGACACCTAAATACTCACCATGTAAATAGCCTCATTGATGACAATATCCTTGACCTTGCTCATCTCTATGAAGGTGGTGCTTTCTTTGCCTGAAGCATAGGATGAGGTCATCTGGATGCCAAGGGAATCGATGATTAACAGAGTCTCCTGATCGATCTTCACAAAATGAAGATAACCGAGCAAGCCTACGAGGGTGATGAAGATGGCGGCAGAGAGGACCATGCTGTTCTGAAGACAGAGCCAGACACAGGCATATGATTACCAAGCAGGCCGGCGCCGCGGCTCAATAGGTTAATCCTCCGCCTGTAGTGCCGGCACGCCGGGTTCTGGTCCCGGACGGGGCGCCGGATTCTGTCCCGGTTGCCCCTCTTCCAGTCCAGCTCTCTGCTGTGGCCTGGGAGTGCAGTGGAGGATGGCCCAAGTGCTTGGGCCCTGCACCCCATGGGAGACCAGGATAAGTACCTGGCTCCTGCCTTCGGATCAGCACAGTGCACCGGCTGCAGCGCGCTGGCCATTAGAGGGTGAACCAACGGCAAAAGGAAGACCTTTCTCTCTGTCTCTCTCTCACTGTCCACTCTGCCTGTCCAAAAATATGAACGATAAATAATATCAAGCAGTCTTGGCATATACTCGTATTTGTGCTGTACAGCAAGTCAGCTCTAGGCAAGGCGGGAGAAAAGCCTTTGTTCTGTGCGCTGGGCTCTGAAGTGCCACAAACTGACCCAGAGCAATAGATCCACAGGATAAGAAAATAGGTCTGGAGAGAAACTCCACGAGCCGAACTTCCACCGTCACACCAGTTCAGACATGGTCTTCCAAAACTGCAACATAAACACCGGGTCTTCTCCTCTCTCTCTCAGCAGAATGTATAGTACAGAATCATAGCCTGGACAAGTGCAAAGGGTTTACAATGAGCAGATACTATTCTTACCTGATACACAGCCATCTACCCTTCCTAACAGAACCAGTCACCACTGGTTCCCACTCCTGCCAACGACTGGTTTAGAAACTGGCATGTGGGGCTAGCGCTGTGGCACAGTGGGCTAACGCCCTGGCCTGAAGCACCAGCATCCCATATGGGTGCCGGTTCGAGACCTGGCTGTTCCATTTCCTGTCCAGCTCTCTGCTATGGCCCAGGAAAGCAGTAGAAGATGGCCCAGGTCATTAAGTGCCTGCACCCATGTGGGAGACCCAGAAGAAGCTCCTGACTCCTGGCTTTGGATCAGCACAGCTCTGGCCATTGCGGACATCTGGGGAGTGAACCATCGGATGGAAGACCTCTCTCTCTCTTTCTCTTTTTCTGTGTCTCTGTCTCTCCTCTCTCTGTTTAACTCTTTCAAATAAATAAATAAAAATCTTAAAAAAAAAAAAAAAAGAAACTGGCATGTGACACAACCCTGGCCAATGAAACGTGAGGGGAAGTCTGCTTGGCACAGCAAACTTAGTCCACCTTACAAAGAGACCCAAGGGAGAGAAGTTTCCCTCACTGTGAGGTTTAGATGTTTGGAACTATTGCCCTGGCCAGACCAAGTGGAGAGCCATGCTGAGGACAGAGAACACTGAGAGGGTATAGGGGAAAAATCATTGATGACCTGTAATTAAAGAAATTCAGTAATTCTGCCACACATCCCCAGAGGGCAGGGAGTGTGTCACTATTATTTATACTGGCAAGATGCTCCTCTAAGCCATCAACTCTGTCTGTTGGGCCTCCCCTGCCCAGATGTAGCAAGAACCTTGGCTGGTGTCAGATTACCCTGGCCTGCCTTCAGCAAGAACCCTGTCCACCCTGGCCTGCCTTCAGCAAGAATCCTGTCCACCCTGGCCTGCCTTCAGCAAGAACCCTGTCCACCCTGGCCTGCCTTCAGCAAGAACCCTGTCCAGTCCTTTCAGCTAGAATCCCACCTTGTCCTCTAAGGCACTGTAACCGCATTAAGTTTCCAGCCTCCTATCAATTAATTCAAGGCTTTTGGGTTTAAACTTACTGGTTTTAGGGCTTTGGGTAAATTATTACTCTTCCAGAGTCTTGGTTTTCTTCTAAGTTGAAGTAAGGAGTTCAGTAAGGAAGCTGGCCCTCAGTGGGCCTTACAAACATCCGTCCTCTCTTCCTCACTTGATCACATACTAGCCGGGACCCAGGCTAGTATTGAACTTTAACTATATCAAAAACTTGGGGGAGGTACTGTCAACTTAACCATCATTTTAACTGACTTATGAACAAACTTTTAGATACAATTTGATACAAAGCTGGGCAGTCTTAATTCTGTGTACTTTTTTTATTAATTTTTAAAAATTTATTGCAGGGGCTAGCACTGTGGCATGGTGGGTTAAACCGCCGCCTGCAGTGCCAGCATCCCATATGGGCACTGATTCGAGTCCTGGCTGCTCCAATTCTGATCCAGCTCCCTGCTGATGGCCTGGGAAAGCAGCAGAAGATGGCTCAGGTGCTTGGGCCACTGCCACCTGATAGGAGACCTGGAGAAAGCTCTTGGCTCCTGGCTTCAGCCTGGCCCAATGCTGGCCATTGAGGCCATCTAAAGAGTGAACCAGCAAACAGAAGATCTTTCCCTTTCTCTTTCTCTCTCTCTGTCTCTCTGTGTCATGTCTCCCCCCGCTCTCTCTCAAATAAATAAATAAATCTTCAAAAAATTTTATTTTATTTCAGAGGCACAGAAGAGAGGGAAAGGGAGAAGAGGAGAGAGAATGAGAGATACTGGTTCCCACCTGATGGTTCACTTCCCAAATGCCCAGGACAGTCTGGACAGGGCAGGAGGGACTGGATTCAGGTTTCCCACATGGGTGGCAGGGACCCAAGTACTCAGCCACCATTGTGACATCTTCCAGGGAGTGAATTAGCAGAGAGACGGAATCAAGAGCCAGGCCTGAGACTTGAGCCCCGGTACTTCCATATGGGATGTGAGCAGACCACGTGGTGCCTTCACTGCTGTGCCAAACGCCTGCCTCAATTCTGCGTTTCTGTGTGAAACTACCATGCTCTGAAATATGCTTTGATAGGAAAAAAAAAATGGAAGTAGCAATGGAAACAAAATCCAAATTACAGAAATAAACAGGCTTGCAGTACTTTGCCCTGGTCAGATCGCTGCTGAAATAATATACGCAGTTCAGAGCCTGCAACTGGAATTCACCCTGCAAACGTCAAGCAGGATGCTCCTCTGGATCCGAGGGACGAGTGCATTTCACTCCACTCTGTGAAGCTGGCATGGCAGATACTAACTCCACTCCAGAGAAGTGAAGACGGAGCCTCGATGAGTCTGGAGATTGGGCATAGACAGCACGCACACAGGGCAGGCACTGTGGAGCCACGCGTGAAAGTGTCCTAGCATCCCCCATCAGAGCGCCTGCTCAGTCCACTTCAGAGCCGGCTCCCTGCTGAGCGCCTGGGAGGCACTGGACGGGGCCCAAGTACTTGAGTCCGTGCCTCCCACGTGGAATGGCCCAGTCTGGGCTGTTGCAGGCATTTGGGGAGTGGACTAGCAGACTGAAGATCTCTGCCTCTCTCCCATCTCTCTGCCTCTTGAATAATAAATCTAAAAAAAGCAAGCATGCATTGTCTCAAGTTTAATAATTCTTTAGAACTTGAAATTGGAGGGAGGCGCTGGGAGGAGGAAAGGTTAAACTGCGTTGAAACACAAGAGCTTAGGAAGAACTACAATACTCCATTCACAACAGATGCACGCGTGCTTTGGGGACAATGACGCAAGGTGTCAGCAGTGACACCTCTGACCTGACGGATGAGAGCCTTGCACAGGCTGCACGGTTCTTGCAGCTCTCGGAACTTAATCGCCAAGGACACGCACCACACAGGGCACGTGCGAGGTAAAGTTCCAAGCTTTGGGACCCGCAGAGCACAGCGACCTGTGGGAGGGAGCAGGGACCCCAACACAAGGTTCACTACACGCTCGGCGCAGAGCCAGCGAGTTCCCGCCCTACGACCCCCTAGGAGGGTCAGACCACAGGCCCGAGCTCCAGCAGAGCCCCCCAGAGACCCTTTCAAAGCCGATCCCAGCTTCCGAGCGGCCGAGCCGCCGTTACCTCGCAGAGGGTGAAGAGCCCGTAGGCCGCCAGCCACACGGAGCAGGTGACAGCCGTGAGCGAGCGCAACGAGAGCCGGGGACAGCTGAGGCAGAACTCCCGGCAGGACGGCGAGTAGTAGCGGCGCTGCAGGGCCAGGCGGCCGCCACAGATATCCGAGAAGCTCTGCTCGTCCTCCATGACGCGACCGCCGGGACCCGGGCAGTCTCGCTGCGCTAGTCCGCCCGCAAGTCCGCAGCGTCCCGACAGAGCCAGGCCCACTTCCGGGAACCCGGTCGCCAGGCCACGCCCCCTAGCTCTGCGCAGCCGCAGTCGTGCGTCGGCCTCGGTGCGGAGATCCCTGAGGTCGTAAACTGCGAATGCCGGCTCGGCCTGGGTTCCGTGCTTGGTTCCTTCAGGAGACTCTTAGGGAGCGAATTTGGCGGGCAGCAGGGGGCAGAAGGGGTGAAGGGCCACGCTGGTTTCCGGGGGGGCCCTGGGGGAGGGGTTTGCCAATAAAGAGGACCAGGAAAACCAAATCCGCTGAGGCCGGAACGAGTGGGGCCGAGAGTTGGAAATCGGGGAGGAAGTCAGGAGTCAGATCTAGAAGGTTCGTGTAGGGTCTGGCATAGGGCTTGGGTTTCGCTGCCTGGGAGTTCTCCCCCAGAGAGCCGCCTGGAGCAGTAACGGGGCAGAAGGTCCCGGTAACAGCGTTCCAGAGCAATAGCACCAGCGGCCTGTGGGCGCCCGCGTTGCCTGGGACGGGGCCCAGGAGGGGCTCGGGGGCTGTTAGATCGGCTGTGTTGCTTCAGCCCCGTGGCAGCGCCTGTGCTTGGTCCTTCTGTGTGTAAGGGATTCGTGGCAGCTTTCAGTCTCTGCTAAAAGGTTCAATTTGTCCATCTTCCTGCAGGAATCCTCTTTCCTAATGGATTTTCTAGAAGCATTTGTTTTTCCCATTTCATCTTTTGGGCCCTGAATCGGATCACATGATATACCCCCTTTTTTTGGTATATACCATTTAATATGTTTTTTTAAGTATAAAAGTCATAGGTGCTTGTTGTAGGAAATTTGAAAAATACAGATCCGTTTTTAACAACCTGTATTTCCACCTCTTAGAAATAAACAGTTAATGTTTTGGAGAAACATTTTATTCTGTAGTTTCTTAACTTAAACTTCATGAATAGAATCAGAGTTTTGTCTTTGGTTTTTTTAACTTGTCCTTTTTAAAAAAAAAATATTGATATTATTTATCTGAAAGGGAGAGAAACAGAGAGAACTATCTTCTATCCGCTGGTTCACCTCTCAATTGCCTGTTAACAGCCAGGGTTGAGCCAGGCTGAAGCCAGGAGCCAGGAACTCAGTCTGGGTCTCCCACATGGGTGGCAGGAACCTCACTGTCTGAGTCATCACTGCTGCCTTCCAAAGTCGCATTGGTACTTAGATATGAGTTGTAGGCATCCCAAGCATCTTAACTACAGAGCTAAATCCCTGTCCCTCCATTCACTTCCAATTGAAATTCAACATTTCTTTGGATTATGAATTAAACTAATTAGTATTGTTACAGTTAACTCAAAATTGTAATGGTTAACTCCAAATGTCATTTCTAGTCATCACTACTTCAAAATTGCAGTAATTATCAGACCCATTCCGAGATCTTTTTAAAGTGTCAATCAAAAGATACATATTATCAGCCAGCGCCGTGGCCTCAATAGGCTAATCCTCTGCCTGTGGCGCCTGCACACCGGGTTCTAGTCCCGGTCAGGGCGCCGGATTCTGTCCCAGTTGCTCCTCTTCCAGTCCAGCTCTCTGCTGTGGCCTGGGAAGGCAGTGGAGGATGGCCCAGGTCCCTGGGCCCTGCACCCCATGGGAGACCAGGAGGAAGCACCTGGCTCCTGGCTTTGGATCAGCGCACTGCGCCAGGCGTGGTGGCCATTGGGGGGTGAACCAAGGGAAAGGAAGACCTTTCTCTCTGTCTTTCTCTCTCACTGTCCACTCTGCCTGTCCAAAAAAAAAAAAAAAATACATACTATGTATTTTTATTTGAAATGCAGAGAGAGATGGAGAGAGACCTTCCATCTGCTGGATCATTCCCAAATGCCAGCAACAGCCAGGGCTGCGCCAGGCTGAAGCTGGGAGTCCAGAATGCAAGCTGGGTCTCCAGTAGGTAGTGAAGATCTAACTGCTTGAGCCATCATCTGCTGCCTCCCAGGATATGCATTATCCCGAAGCTGGAAACTGGAGTGGGGCCAGGACTCAAACCTAGACACTCTGATATGGAATGTGGTGGAATGTGGGCATCCTAAGGGGCATCTTTTTTTTTTTTTCTTCAGATTTATTTATTTATTTGAAATGCAGAAGTACAGAGAGAGAGAGAGAGATTCCATCTGCTGGCTCACTTCCCAACTGGCCACAGTGGCCAGAGCTGTGCCAATCAGGAGCCAGGAGCTTCTTCTGGGTCTCCCACGTGGGTACAGGGGCCCAAGGACTTGGGCCATCTTCTACTGCTTTCCTAGGCCATAGCAGAGAGCTGGATTGGAAGTGGAGCAGCTGGGTCTCAAACTGCTGCACATATAGGATGCTTGTGCTTCAGGCCAGGGCATTAACCCTCTGCACCACAGCGCCGACCCAAAAATAAATAAATCTTTAAAAAAATTTTTTTTATCTTTAGTGTTTACAAATTTGACTATGATATATTGGCATCCATTTCTTTGGGTTCATACTGTTCAGTGTTTGATCAGCTTTTTTAAAAAACTTTTTTTTGTTATTGGGTCCAGCACTGTAGTATAGCAGTTAAAGCTGCTGCCTATGATGCTGGAATCCCTTACAGGTGCCATCTTAAGTCCCAGCTGCTCCACTTCTGATCCAGCTCCCTGCTAATGGCCTGGGAAATCAGTGAAAGATGGCCCAAGTGGTCAGAATCCTGCCATCCATGTAGGAGACCCAGAAGAGGCTCCTGGCTCCTGACTTTGACCTGCCCCATCCCTTGCTGTTGTGGCCATTTGGGGAGCAAACCGGCAGATGGAAGATTCTCCCCTCTCTCTCCTCTCTCTCCGTTGGTTCACCCTCCAATGGCCGGCGCACTGCGGCCAGCGCACCACGCTGATCCGAAGCCAGGAGCCAGGTGCTTCTCCTGGTCTCCCATGGGGTGCAGGGCCCAAGGACTTGGGCCATCCTCCATCCTCCATTGCATTCTGGCCACAGCAGAGAGCTGGCCTGGAAGAGGGGCAACCAGGACAAAATCCGGCACCCTGACAGGGACTAGAACCCAGTGTGCCGGTGCCACAAGGCGGAGGATTAGCCTATTGAGCCGTGGCGCCGGCTACCTTTTTACCTTGTTAATAGTGTCTGTTGATGAAGAGGGGTTTTAATTTTAATGAATTCCAAATTATCAATCTTTAATGGTTAGTGGTGTATTTTGTTAGAGAAATTTGGGCTGGCATTGTGGCATAGTGGGTAAAGCTGCCACCTATAACACTGACATCCCATGTGGGTGCTGGTTCATGTATTAGCTGCTCCACATCCGATTCATCAGCTCCCTGCTAATGGCCTAGGAAATGCGGTGGAAGATGGCCTAATTGATTGGGCCCCTGCCACCCACATGGGAGACCTGGATGGCGCTCCTGGCTCCTGGCTTCAGCCTGACCTAGCGGTGGCCATTGGCAGCCATCTGGGGAATGAACCAACAGATAACAGGTCACTCTCTCTCTCTCTCTCTCTCCCTTTTTCTCTATAATGCTTTCACATAAATAAATATATCTTAAAAAAGAAAAAAAACCCCTTTGCCTCAGAAACTTTGCTTGCCTCAGGGTCGTGAAAATATTGTTCTTTTTTTTTTCAGAAATTTTATTTTTTATCTTTCATATTTGAGTCTGTAATCCATTTTGAATTAATTTTTGTTTGTAAGGGTTGAGGACCTTTTTATTTCCCAGCAACATTTGATGATAAGACCACTCTTTCCTCAATTGCAGTGACAACATTGCTGCAAATTTTGTAAATCAAATGACCATTAAAAGTGACTTCAAAAAATGCGTGGAAACTGTGCATTGCTTTTGAAAAGTTCATGGAAAATATGCATTCCACTTTCCATTAACTTTTTGAAGTCCCCTGTATTATGTGTCAGTCTGTGTCCAGACCCTGTATACGACCTGTTCTGTCTTTCCTTCTGTTGTTAGCAACCTGTCTTAGTTATTGTCACTTTGGTAGCAGTCATATTTGTCCCTGGGCTGCAGGCTGAGCTGCCAGAAATGATGGTGCCCTGGTCTCTGTAGTCATCTGGAGAACTTAGGAAACCTGAAGAGGACCTGTACCTAAATTGGAGTGTGTTTGCAAGTGTGTGGCTCTATTGGCCCCATGTTAGAAGGATCCTGATGAAATTCCTAGGGGTTGTTATTCAGAATCCCCAAGGATAGAAATGTGTTTCCCCGTGGGAGTGGGCCCTAAACCTCACTCAGTCACATTATAGGAGCCAGTTTAGCTGTGGAATTTCCTGAGGAACTCAAGCTTCCAAAAACATTCATGTACTGAAAGCTAGGAAAAGCAAATAAAAGTGATGTTTATTTTTTATAGTCACTAATAAATGTTGTGCTTGGCGATGGTCAATCGTATGATGTGTCAGCTTTTTGTTTTTGTTCCGCTGATTATTTTATTATTTATATTTCAAAAAATCTAAATAAATATTTTGATTTTAAGTTTGAAAAAATAATTTTTGAATTTTGAGGTGCTTTGCTCTTTCTCGCAAGACCTGATTGCTCTCTGGTACTTTGGGGAGAGACGTGAGCCCTGGAATTGGAGTCTGCAGCTCTGGAGGTGTGGTAGGAGGTGCATTCAATTTTTTTTAATAGAAGATTTATTTATTTGAAAGGCAGAGGGACACACACACACACAGATTTTCCATCTGCTGGTTCACTTCCCAAATGACTGTGATGGCCAGGACAAAGCCAGGAGCCTGGAACTCCATCTGGGTCTTCCATACAGGTGGCAGGGGCCCAAGCACTTGGGCCATTTTCTGCTACTTCCCAGCCCCATTATAAGGGAACTGGATTGGAAGTGAAGCAGCTGGGAACCAGCACTCATGGGATGCCAGTGTCACAGGTGGCTGCTTAACCTGCTGCACCAGAGCGAGGCCCCTGATATGCATCATTCTAGAAGGACAGCCCTGTGAAGCAACTGCTGAGGCCGGGGCTGGACTGCAGCTGGGCGCTGTGGATGGGCCAATCTGGCTGGGATTGGTGCATCAGAATACAGGGTGGGGGTAGGTGGTGTTTGTAGTTGGGAACTTTCATTTCTGTGTGAGGGCAGAG